TAGGTAATGAAACCTAGTTTCTGGGAAATTAGGTCAAATGTTTATCTAGGTCAAAGGTCAAGAACTAGGTCAAATCGTGGGTTTTCACTATTTTACAAGTTTTCTCAGTCGTCCTCCGGTATTTTTGCTCCGGGTTTTTTTCATCATGTTCCTTTGAAAAAAAGCTAATTCCGTAAGGCAAATCGTTTTTTGATTACTCTTACCGATTTTGAGAAATGACGTCCGAAAAGTAGGTCAGATCATAAAAAGTTCTCCAAATTCAACGTGTGAATTATCAAATAATCCAAATCTGCAAACAAAATTTCGATCCGACTTCCGGTTCAGAAGTTACAGCATTTTGAAATCTCAAAATCGCTAAATTTGGTACCCTATGTTAAGTCAATGGGGAAAAAGACTTCTTCGAAGTGTAAAATACGAGATATAGACTGAGTACAGCTTAACATAATGAAAACCTATAAAAGAAGGGGACCTCGAAGGCTATCTAGCTTTAAAATTTGGACAGCAAAATGCCTAGGTCAAAATCTAGGTCAAATTTATAGTATTTTCTTATTTTTGCGATTCTGACACTACACTTAAATAATTTGCTTCAAAATTTTGTATACAGGTAGCAAAGAGTGTGCTAATAGTGATAGCCTTTTGCCGTCAGAAAGTATTTTGACCCACTTTTGAGATATGGTGTCCGAAATATAGGTCAAAATGAAAAGTTCTCCAAATTTAGCATATGAGTTATGAATTAAGGGTAGAATTTTCTCAGGAATCCGAGTCTGCAAACCAAATTTCGATCCGACTTCCGATTCGAAAGTTATGTCGTTTTGAAATTTCGAGAAAAATCGATCTGATGGTATCCTGATAGAAAGTCAAGAGTAGAGAAGAAAATATTGAAAAATGCATCCATCCTTCCTTTGTGATCCTATCGTATCCTTCTTATCTACCTTTCCTTCATATGAAGCCATGAAATAAGGGGAGAATTTTCTCAGGAATCCGAATCTGGAAACAAAATTTCGATCCGACTTCCCGGTCGGAAGTTATGGCATTTTGAAAGCTCAAAAATTGCTAAATTTGGTGCCCCATGTTATGTCAATAGGGAAAAAGTTTTTTTTGAAGTGTAAAATACCAGAAATAGACTGAGTACAGCTCAACATAATGAAAGCCTATAAAAGAAGGGGAACTCAAAGGTGACCTAGCTTTAAAATGTGGACAACAAAATGCCAAGGTCAAAATCTAGGTCAAATTCATAGTTTTTCCTTATTTTTACGATTCTGACATTACACTTTAATAATTTGCTTCAAAATGTTGTATACAGGTAGCAAAGAGTGTGCTAATAGTGTAAGCCTTTTGCCGTCAGAAAGTATTTTGACCCACTTTTAAGATATGGTGTCCAGAATGTAGGTCAATATAAAAAGTTCTCCAAATTTAACTTATGAGTTATGAATTAAGGGTAGAATTTTCTCAGGAATCCAAATCTGCAAATCAACTTTCAATCCGACTCCCGGTTTAGATTCTACGCCATTTTAAATTCAAATTTGCCAATATCCACAATGCAGATCCATCAAATATAACTTCAAAAATTCCTACTTACCTACATACCTCCTCGGCTACCTACTTAGCTACCTACTTCTCAGCTACCTACTCAGCTACTTACTCAATTACTTAATCATCTACATACTCAGCTTTCTACTCAGTTACTTACTCAGCTCTTTACTCAAGAAAATCAATCTGGAGTCTTAAATTGAACTTTGTTCAATTTACCAATCTAGTTATTATTATTCTTTATTCTTCCTAAACCCTTTTCTCCTACTTCCAACTACCTTTCAACCATCTCCTACATGCACCTTCCAGGGACCTTGGCTGAACTTGGGGGGAAAGAACTTTTTATCTAGGTCAAGGTCAAAGGTCAAAATCTAGGTCAAATCAAAGTTTTTTTTAAGTTTCTCAGATTTCGTCCTCATACTTTATTATTTCTTGCGATGAATTAAAATGTAACTAGATATAAGCATTCTCTACAAATTGCTCACTATATGTACGCGTTAATTTTTTACCGTTTTTGAGATATTTGACGGCAAAAAACGGCAAAAATCGGTCATTTTTCAACTTGCTTCAAATGAACCAGAATTTTTTTTTAAAATCATCTACAAGATCTCAGGAACTCAAATATGTCCTTACTTTTGACCTCCGACCTTTGGTTGACCTTCGGTGACCTTCGAAAGGTAAAAAAAACTGATTTTTACAATTGATTTTCTGGATTCAAATTTAGGTATATTTGATCACAAAGGACCCACTGAGGTCTAAAAAAGTAAAATTTGCAAGGTCAAAGGTCAAGGTCATCAAACCAAATCACAAACTGTGTTTTCCAAGTTTCTAAGTTTTGGTGACTACAAATCAATATTTTTTCATGAAAGTCAGGATATATATTCCTCTATAGGTTCTACACATATTAGCAATTGACTATTTATTAAAATTGTGTACCAGTTTTGAGATATTGGAACTCAAAAACTGAAAAAAGGTCAAATTTCGAAACTTTGCAAGACTAAATTTCAACTTGCTCTAAATTGACCAGACTTTTTTTTAAAAAGCATCTACAAGATCTCAGGAATCCAAATCTGACCTTAGTTTTGACCTTTGACCTTTGGTTGACCTTCAGTGACCTTCGGAAGGTAAAAAAAGTTGATTTTTCAAATTGACCAAACTTTTTTTAAAAATCATCTACAAGTTGCTTGGTGTTAATATATGACCCTAGATTTGAGATTTGACCTTTGGCTGACCTTGAAATTGCCAAAAACGCCTACAGGGCCTCCTTAAGATTGCTTGCAATCTTAAACCTCTAGTTATAATCAAAAATGGTACGTTGATATTTTACTGTGGCATTATGCTTAAGATTAAGTTCCCCATAAATGTAACTGTGATCTAGGTTTACTAGTGGAGGCTCAACCCCTTCTTGTGAAACAAAGGCAGGAGAGTCAGTAATCAGTAAGTCAAGAATAGCATCACATCGTGTAGGTTTAGTTATCAACTGAAATAAGTTAAAGCCATGAATAAGATTAACAAGCTTATTTCCCACTTCGCTATCATTGTGTGTTGAGTCCCATATAGTACATGTATCATTAAAATCGCCTAACAGTATCAAACAATCTGGTTGTAAGTTGAGCACACGTGTAAGAGAAATGGTCAAATTATCAATAAAGTTGTCAACATGTTGAACATTCATACCAGGTGGCCTCTAACAAGTTCCTATGATCACAGTTTTTGGTCCAATTTTGAGTTTAAGCCAAATTAATTCTAGGTCATTGTGTTCACAATTAAACAGCCTGGTAGTTGGAATTGATTCTTTAACATAAAAGGCTACACCGCCACCTGGCTTATTTTTTCTATCTTTACGAATAAGTCTTTGATAATTTTGAATGTAAATATCATCATCATCTGGTTTAATGTTATCATTGAGCCATGTTTCACTGAGAGCAATGACATCAAACTGCTTGCTGACACACAGAGTAGAAGTGATTTCATCAATTTTCTGGTGGTGGCTTTTTAGGGATCTGGTGTTAATATGACAGAAAGAAAAATTGGTTGGGAAAATCTTCATGGGTCCTGGGTTTGGGTGTACACCACCTATAATTAACAAGATGTGCAAAACTATATTAAGATATGCAATTGCTATGAATTTACAAGGCCTTGGCTGATTTGGAATTCTAAAATATTTGTTTTTAAAAGTAAATATTGATGTTCTTGTAATAAGGTGCCATGTCCCAATTGTTGCCCTATATTGAGTAATGTCAATGCTCATGGTGGTTCAAAATAGTTGGGAATGGGAACACAGACAGGAGAATCTATCCAAAGACATGTTGGATCCTGGGGATTGAATGAATAAAGTGATTGCAAAGAACAGACATGCACCAGAGACACTCTATACCTTTCTAACTCAAATTTTATGATTTTCAGAATGAGACATGTTGTGAATAATAATATAATATACAAGTATGACATGTATGTACATGTGTTAATCATTTATGCAATATGGTTAATATACATGGAATGCTGTTACAGAAATATAAGTGGTTGAGTCTCATTGATTAAGTAAGGGTGAAACTGTATAATATGTATTGTACACACAGATAAGTAAGTGCCTTTCCCATTTCAAGTCATTGAGATTGTACAGTATGAATCATGGATGATCATGGATTAATAACCTTGAAGGACCTCTTATATGTTTAACCCACATTTTGGATTAAAAAAACAACAAAAAACAACAAACAAAAAAATACAATGTAAAGATCTAAAGGAACAATGTTATTGACTGTTACTATAGCATCTAAGGAATCAACCAAAGTAGGTATAAAAAGTACAGAAAAAATTTAATATTTTAACACTCAGTATACAGATAGATGTCACTCATGGAGTACTCCTCAAAAGGAGTTTTACAAGTAAGTAGATATGGTTTGCTTATCCAGTATGTGCATTCACTATGGAGATGTTTTTCATTCAGAATAAGTTTGCAAACACCTCAATTAGAGAGTTTTGTAGGTGTTGAGAATTAGAGCACTTGTGGTCTGAGGCAAATGATGGTTACTAAGTAGTATTTAAATGTATTAAGTGTTCAGTGATATTGTATAATCACTATAGCGTATAGTATTTGCATTATGCAGTCAAGGATAGTTGTATTCATAAGTTAGAGTTTACTACAGTCTAGGTTATTAAAACCGTAAAACTATTGATCACGATTGATCTGGAGCAAAGAAGAACAATTGAAAAACTCAGTAAGCAGTCTACCTTATGTTGAATGTACTAGGCAGATCAAAATGTAAAACAAAAATAAAGTACTGTTTACTACATCTGTAGTCTTGGGGACCTGTCATTATAAAATAAAGGTCTAAAGTGAAAGTAATTAGTGGTTCATGTTGCCTATTATATTGATAGTAATACTTGGACTCTCATCAATGTATTATCATAAATATACTACTCTGTTGCCATTCATGTTTTCTGATGAATTAATTAAGTTTCTATACCTGCTTCCTGAGCCTCTCCATCTGCTCGTTGAGCAACTGTCTTGTATTATTAAGCTTCCTAGAAACCTCTGCCTTGTCCTGTTGGAGGTCTTCAAAAGCTTTTCTATGGTCATCATGAGCATCTACAAAATCAATTCATTTTTAATTCATACATTAAAGGTATACGTAAGTGATGTTCGCAATTGCTTGTGATGAATCTTTATTCTAAGATGTTTGCGGCTTGTTTTCTTGACTGATTTATATAGGCTCTTTTACATGACATCTATGCATGGATCTTTTACAAGATGTCTATGTATGGCTCTTTTGCAAGATGTCTATGCATGGCTCTTTTCCAAGATGTTTATGTATGGCTCTTTTGCAAGATTTCTATGCATGGCTCTTTTCCAAGATGTTTATGCATGGCTTTTTTGCATGATGTCTATGGATGGCTCTCATGACTGATTTTGAAGTGTCCTTTTGGACTGAAACATTTTGATACAAATAGTAGCACTCCACATTTACTTTGGTTGATAGAGAGGGCATGTTGAACATACTCTATTATGTACACATTAATTGTATCTGCTGTATATTCAATGACATGAACATGTTCTAGTAGTCATCCTGCTTACTTGATAAAAGTTTGTTTGTCTCAGCAAGGCGAACTTGGCATATCTCTTCTACTTCTTTTCGCTTCTTCTGTTCCTCAAGTAAGGCTATGTTGAGATTGTTATAGCGCGTCATATCAACTCGTCCCTCAGTCTCCTCCCTCAGGCACTGCACCTCACGCATATGTTGTGATTCAGCCATAGACATACTTGCATTCACTTTGGCAAGCTGAAAAAGCATAGATTAATACGACTGAATGATATAACATCTCACACATATGTTGTGACTCAGCCATAGACATACTTGCATTCACTTTAGCAAGCTGAAAAAGCATACATTAATACGACTGAATGATATAACATCTCACACATATGTTGTGACTCAGCCATAGAGAGAAGTGCATTCACTTTGGCAAGCTGAAAAAGTATAGATTAATACGACTGAATGATATAACATCTCACACATATGTTGTGACTCAGCCATAGACAGACTTGCATTCACTTTGGCAGCTCAAAAAGTATAGATTGAAACGACTGAATGATATAACACCCAGGGGTCACACGGTTTGAGATTTCACGGTTCGGTTCGGTGATTGTATTTTACAGTTCGGTTCGGTTCTGATTGCGGTTCTCACGGGCCTCGTGAAATGAGCAAAAATATATGAAATTGATCCGAAAATCAGAAAACATACTAAGTGTGTCACAGTGTTTTATTGTATTCAGTATTGTAAGTATCCAGTTTCACACAATGTTTGTTTGTTTGTTCAGTCTTTTTTCCCTCCCTCCCTCCCAAAATATCTGTGTGTTCACTGTGTTGATCTTCTTGTTTGATGTTCTAGTTTTTTCAACACATAAAATAACTTGTCAACTGTTGGCAAAATTAGCACAATACTTCACTAAACTGAATAAATGTTTTCTTTAGAAATATAACTTAAGTTCAACACTTTGTCAGGACTCAACATGGATCAAAGGCGAACGTAATACACAGAACGTGACTCGTTCGCAAATTCAATGCATTCGGCGTTCGGCTTTTTACAGTATACTGTTCTATCAACCAATAGGATTGCGCGAAATGTTTAGCGTAGGTCACTTCCGGGTCAATATGCCGGTGAAATTTATCAACATTTTCCTTTTGTTTTTGTTATCTGCAGTCTATATCAGAAGATCGTCGTAAATATCAGGTATGGTTCGCATTATTGCATGATGATTAACGATTCCAGACGATGTTTAGTTAATTGGTATTACACGAAAGCTTGAAATGGAGTTTAATTCCGAGGTTTACATTTTTATTTTTCTGTAAGTGAAACTGAAAATGTCACGGTTCTTCAAGAACCGCGGTTTTCAAGATTGTGTGCGAGCTAACCGTCGTGGAGGTATGAACCGCGGTAACCGCAAGCCACGGTTAACCGTGTGACCCCTAATAACACCTCACACATATGTTGTGACTCAGCCATAGACAGACTTGCATTCACTTTGGCAAGCTGAAAAAGTATAGATTAATACAACTGAATGATATAACACCTCACACATATGTTGTGACTCAGCCATAGACAGACTTGCATTCACTTTGGCAAGCTGAAAAAGCATAGATTAATACGACTGAATGATATAAGACCTCACACATATGTTGTGACTCAGCCATAGACAGACTTGCATTCACTTTGGCGAGCTGAAAAAGTATAGATTAATACAACTGAATGATATAACACCTCAGACATATGTTGTGACTCAGCCATAGACAAACTTGCATTCACTTTGGCAAGCTGAAAAAGCATATATTAATATGACTGAATGATACAACACCTCACACATATGTTGCGAACCATACAGTAGACAGATTTGGATTCACTTAGACAAGATGAAGAAGTACAGATGAATCTAACTGATATAATATAATAGCAGGATTATCATGTCTCTTGTGCTACATCTAATATATTTTTCATACAAAATGTAACATAGTATTAATAAAATATAATGTTTAAAAATATAGATGGTATATTGGTTTGGCTTTTAAATTTGCATTACTATTGCTCCTGAATAAACAGTGGTGCATATTAACAAGTTTACACAGAAGAAACTTATTAGTTAAAAATAAACTATTTTAAATGTAAACAGAATTGCCAAGGCCAACATTGCATGTTGTTGTAGAATAGTCAGGAAAGACAAAAATACCATTATTCTAACACGAAAAAAATAGTAAGCCTAATTATTAAGGTCAGAAACCATAAACTATCCTAAACTTACATTGTCTTTTGCACTTGACAGCTGGTCTTCTAAGGCTGCCTTCTCCTGTTCCCAGCCATCTAGCTTTGTCTAGAAAAATATACATATATTGTTCATAATATAAAAATAAATAAATAATTTATAAATATTAGGCCATGTACAATGTTAAGATGCATTCACTTGGTACTGAGAAACCCATATTACTTCAGGGTTTATATATTATGTAATGCGAACATTTATTATGTAATGTGAACATTTATTTAAAAACCATGCAATATGAATTCAATAAAACAAATTCTGTATCAAGCTATATGCTTAAACTTCGTGAAAATTATCTATATAAATGATTTACATGTATTTATAGTGTCCTATAGGTCGTTGTCGGCCTGGGGTGTTTTAATTGTATTTTATATGTTTTATGACTCACGACACTTTAATAAAATAAATAAATAAATAAATAAATAAATAAATAAATAAATCAAATAACTATATGACAGTGTATGCTTGTTAATTCATTTGCAATGCACACCACACCACAATTTATTTAAAGTTGTGCAGGTAGCAAAAATTAATTGATTCATACTTTTGCAAACTCTGTAAAACTGAAGTGACTTCATTTAATCATTTACCTGTTTATAAATCAGTAATCATCTCATGATTTATTTCAACTGAATCCAGTAATATGATCTATTTTTACCACCTTGCCGGGCCTGTTCTAGGGGTATTAGTCTAATTTAGAAGGCTTTTATTTTACTATATTGACCTGATTAATATGTGACTCATAGTTGCAGGCCGTAGTGGCGGACCAAAATTGATATTTCAGCCAGCCAATGTTCCCCGGGAAATGAGATATCATTTAGTGCATATAATTTTGGTTCAGTGGCAGTGCCTTCTTGCTACAAACTTCACCCCTGGGCATAAACGGTGGTAATAATACTAATAATGTCATTTCCTTGGGGAAAATAGTAAAATATTGGACCTTTGCTATTACGTTCCTAGAGTTGCATTTGTACGGAAGTCAATGGGAAAGTTAGCGGGCTATATCAACTGATATTGCCCAATTACCCGGATATAGCCCAATACCTTGTTTTGATATTAGATTTCTTTAATAACCATGACAAAATCATGACGTTGTGTCTGATTTTGATCAAATTCCTCTCGCGCACAGATGTGTGACATCATTGATCCCACGTAGCCATGGGAATAAAGGTATGTAATACATCAGTTATGTCACTATGACATGAAATATGCCTTTATTCTTGTCCAAATATAGAGCCTCCCAAGGTTGGCCTATATTGGGAAAACTCAGTCACGTCTCAAGTCATAGTGTCATAATCTCTAATTATTGCCCTTTGAAATTACACTAAGTGTACTATTAATATGCAAGATAAACCAATAGGATTGCGTGACCAGCAAAATTTTCAACATGCCATAAAAATTACCTGTAAATATTGAACCTTTAGAGATTCATTCAGTGATTCATTCAGTTCAGACTTAGTTGCATTCAGAGACCTCTGCAGTGCTTGTTTGTCATTTAAAGCTTGTTCATACTGGTGCTAATAAGTAATAAGAAATACAAGCGTGCAATATTAATACAACACAACATTAATTCGTCTGATGCAAAAAAAACATTTCATTCTAAATAACATGCAGATATTAAATGTATGTCATTGAATTCTATTATAATGAGAGTTCAAAAGAAAACAAGAGAAAGAGAAGACAGAGATAGGATGCCAAGATACTTTCTAATATTTATGAAAAGCCATCTCAAAATTAATAAGGTAAAATGTGGTCTTTGTTCAGTTTGTTTGCTGTAATACACACAATAATTTTAAAATAACAAAAATGTAATACTTTTTGACATTTGTGCTTAATAAACATATTATCTACAGAACCATAGATGTCCTTGGTACTTCCATCAAGTGTACACATAAACTTGACATATGAAAGTCAAATAATAAAAACCATCATATGAAAAATCTACCTTTGCATGCAAATAACATGTCTCAGCGTGCTAAGCACCATTTGTTTAAACTCAATATAAAATATTCAATAACTTTTTATTCAACTAATAATATAGATTAAATGTTATTATAAAAGAGGCTTTGATTTATGAACCTTTTTCCATTATATTACAATGATCAACAAGCATACAATAATTTATTTTGAAATAAGATTTAAACCAGGATACTGGAGCAACATTTAAATGCGAAACATTAAAATAAACATTTTAAAATATCATCAGATCCTATGATATCCTGTATAAATACATTTATAAAAACTGAAATGATAAAAGGTGGCCACAAAGGAGATATAAGATAAAAAATGAATTATCCACTGACATTGAATAGAAGGATCATCATGGAATCGTATGTAGTTTATTTACACAGGTGTTTATGTGATATTTCTACAATGTGGGATAACTATAATAGATCTTACTAATAAAAAAGGAAGTACTTCTTGAAGGTGTTCTCGGAGAAAGGGAGGATGATTTACCGAATCATAATTATTTTGTGCTTAATAGGATTGGCACGAGGAGCAAAACAAAAAGGGCAAACTTGCAAAGGAAGTAAATTACTCAAATTTAGAAATGCCATTTGCAAAAGCACTGAAGATTGTCACAATACATTTAAATGCATTAAAGGGGAGTGCTGTCAATATAAGGATGTTCCAGCATGTAGCCTAGAAAAGAATCCCAACACAAAAGCACCTTGGCCATGTAAAGGAGGAGGAAGTAAAGTGTGCAGTCCTGGCTATGTGTGCTTTGAACATGAAGACAATATTTTTTCTGTTTGCTGTCTTAACATCACTTGTGTTGATGAAAGTGGAATTGCACACAAATGGTATGATGATCCTTGGATAAGTAATGAAGACAAGTGTAATAAATGTATCTGTAAAAAGGATGGAACAATTAAATGCACGGATAAAAAAGGTATTCATTATTTTTTGTTGTTCCATTTCCCATGAATTTAAACACAGCATATGTGGCAATAACAATATTTGTACATCTACTAAAATATATTCTTAATTCTTAATATATTGGCATATATGCATGTTATTAATATATGTCTGATAATTTACGTGGCATGAAAGGGGTTATCCATATCCTTACTTCTAGACCAAGATGCTCATTGGCTGAAATAAAGTTCCAGTGCTGATGAGCATATTTACAAAAATTGGTGAAGATATTTGAGATTCAAGATGCTCAATTTGCCACACATTTGCCACATTTATAAAGAAATGAACACATTGTAGTAAAAATCTTTAGTTTTCCTTAAATCAAGTCAAGTATGCATATGGAACATTTTGGAAAATAGACACGACAGAGAATGACATGAACCCAAAATATTTTAAAATTGAGAATATTTTGTTAGCTTGCTCCCTTTAAGTACAATATCTTTAATTAAAAAAGAAGCCATAAAGAGTACAAAAACAAAACAAAAAAAATGTTTCTCATCATGGCATAATTACTCTCTTTCAGCCTGTAAAAAGTGCAAAACACCAAATGGAGTAAAGAAACTTCCGTACCAATATTGGGCAGACCGCTGCACCCAGTGCACATGTAAATCGAAACTGTATATTCCATGCACAAATCCATGTGAACGCGGTGTTAAAGGTAACCTTCAAAATCTTAATTAGTGTTTAAAACATTTGTGTGTTTGTTTAGTTCCCCTTGTTAGTGTTTCAACTATAAATACAATATGTAAGCAAAATAGCCTCTTTGCACACAGACATAGAAACCTCAATGGCAGCAAAACCATACTCAAACATACACATTATTGGTGTACACTAGGATAATTATATGTGTTATACAGGCCTATTATACACAAAAGTATAAAGCACATATAAAAAGTGAGACAAAATTTTGTAGCTATTATTCTGATTTTTAGACACATTTTCTGACTACACACCATGTGACATAAATAGTTGCGGTAAACAGGTAGCAATACAACAATGTCATAGCGCAGTCGGAGAAGATGGAGAACCCTGTCTTGGACATAACATTGACATTAGGACCTGTAATGAAGATAAGTGTTCTGGTTGCCCAGGAGGAAGATTAGCAGAGGGAGCAGAGATTATTATTGGAGGAATTGAGGTGAAACCTAAGAATAATTTCCCATGGATGGTGCTGATTGAATCTGAAGGTTGTGGAGGATCACTTATCTCACCAAGACATGTCCTGACTGCTGCGCATTGTGTGGAAAATGAAGACAAAATAACCCTAAAGACAGGAAAGCATGATAGAACCATCATGGAAAAAACAGAACAGTCTAGAACAGTGAGAAATATTAGGAACATCATTGTGCACCCTAGTTTTGATGGTATTAATCATGATATTGCTATCATAATCATAACTCCTCCAATTGAATTAAACAGCCACACTCAACCAGTGCTGCTGCCGACAAGTCCTATATTCAATATGAAGACTACAAAAGATCGACAATGCGAGGTAGCAGGTTGGGGAAGAACATCATTAGATAATCTACGTAACTCTGAAGTTCTTCTTCATGTAATTCTCAAACAAGAAGAAAAATGTAATCTTATTAAAGCTGACAGAAAGGCTATCACCAAAGACATGTTCTGTGCAAGTGAAGACGGAAAGTAAGTGAAATTGTTAACTTTTCAGGAAAAAGCCCTTCAGACAACAGTTGGAAATTCAAATTATTGACAATAATTTCATTTATGGCACTGTGAGAGTTGGTTAAGGTCTAGGTATGAACAAGCCCTGAGAAGACCATTCCCCGGCTGTCCCAGGTAAATGTTTCTGGTAAGTTACACTGAACGAAACATCAAGCTTCAGATCTCGGGAGTACGAGATGAGACTTCAGACGAGATATCGATAGGACTGTAGTTGGAGGGTTTTCTCTCAAGGTCCTTACAAAATCCATAGACATCAATGTAAGTTATACATTTCGATTCTTTTCCCTCACCTCCTTCCCCAGCTTACACCACCAGTTGGAGATTTATTTTCGCCCAAGAAGATGAGTTGGAGATGGTATTATAATATATCCAATTGAGCTAATTAACAGTTATGTCAAATTGTAAACTCTTGTAGCTAATTAACTTAAATTAGCCATTAATTTCCTAGGTATTGTGTTTTGTGTTAATTGGCTCAATATTTATTTATATTAATTTCATATTAATAATTTTATATGTACGACTCTCACGGCCATATTTATACTCTACATGAACATAAATAGTATTTTATCATGTTAAAATAGTATAATGTGAATTCTATACCAATTGTCAGGTTACGTTCAGATAAACACAACACTTGGTTACAAGAAAAGCAATAGGCTTGTGGCCGCAGTTTATTGCAACGTGCTGTAATTGCTATAACAAGAACATAATATGTAGATGAAATACAATGTTAACTTGATAAATGGCGAATATAAGTAAAAACTTACTAGAACTTAATAGCGTTTTCTGGTTGAGTCAATTGATTCTCAGAGTTATTAACACCATTAAAACCTCAAAATTTTGAGGACCTCCTATTGTGAGGCCCAAAAGGTATGCAACAACTCTTCAACCTATCGACTTTGAGAAAGTGATATTCCTTCAAAAATGATAGCTTTTTCATGGAGTTTATCATGCGGCGCCAAAAGCCAGAATGATAATAATAAACCTAACAGCCTTATTTACCAAACAGCTATTCACCATACAGCTATATCAGTGAAAATCGCGTTCGATTTCAACGACACATACATGAACTACACCCCACAAAAAACTATAGAAATTATTTATATTCTAAATTCGTAAACTCAACCGAATATAAATTACAAGTATTAACATAGGGTGTAGTACTTGTGTAACAAAGGTATAAAATAATATACATACAAAAAAACATTTAAAAAAATTCCTCAAATTAAAGTAAAACAGATTTGATCATTGACCAAACATAATAAGTAAATTACAGTAATTTCTTCTAGCTTATGTCTTTATCTCATTTAGTAAACCACTTACAACCTCAGTTATAGCGAAGGACAATTTCGAAAATAAATCAAGAACACGTTAATCTTATATAACTTTTTATCTTAGGGATTCATGTTTTGGGGACTCAGGAGGACCTTTTATGTGCCGAGATGAAAAAACTTCAAAATGGACTCAGTATGGAGTTGTAAGTTGGGGTCCAGTAGACTCTTGTGGAGAAAAGTCAGGGGTATACACAAAGGTGCCAAACTACCTCGACTGGATAAATGATATTATATCTACTGATGGGGGATGGAGTGAATGGACTCCATTCACTGACTGTGCAAATGGTATGAAAAGTAGGGCTAGAATCTGTACAAATCCAGAGCCAATAGGAAATGGTACATGTAAGGGAACTGGTGAAGTGAGCAAAGATGAGAAGACTGGGTTGTATATGGACATCGAAAAGGTGAATTGTTAGGAAACATGAGCATTTTATTGTATAGTTTGCTCCCAGAAAATAAATGAATCTTTAAATGATTTTTGATAGAATTTATTAGAATTACTCTTTTAAGTCACCCAAGTATCTTCTGTCTAACTTAACTAGGGCGAACGTGCACACACAACGCATCACAAAATTCTTTTTTTTTTCAAATTTACATTATAACCATTTTAAAAAAATTAAGTTAAAGTTAGAAACTTCAGAATTTTCTATGCTAATGGTTGCAATGAACTTAAACTTGAGTGGTATCATGTTACTGTACTCCGGGTATTGTTCGCGTGCGATTTAATTTCGCTTTGTTCGCGAATGGAGTAAAATCGCGAACATTTATCGTCGCGAAATTTGTCTTTTAAATCCCCGGGGATTTGACCCCTGTGAAAAACGTTTCATCCAGTGTTGTTGGGCGATAATTCAAAAAAGGCTAAAATGTCAACATTTTGAATTGGCTTATTAGGCCAACAAAGGCAAGAACTGTTGACGACAATGATATCCTACAAATTGAAGTTGAAAAAGTCATTCAAGAATATTCAAATAAATGCCCTAAATGTGGGAAATACAAACATTATTCGGATTCTGAACGTGCTAAAATAGCCAGATACGCATTGATTCACGGTTATCAGAAAAAATTCAACTTGTGCAATCCGCGAAATGTCATCAACTCAAATCCGCGAAATTAAATAGCCGCGAAATTGCAATTTTGAAAAATCGCGAAATTTTATAGCGTCGAAATTTACCCGGAGTACAGTATTCTGTAATAATAAATTGCCACAGGTATTTCAAGATCTAATGAACTTGTGTTACGCAATGTCAAAGCAAAGACAGTTCTAGAGTGACAGGGCTGAGTGGAAATGAGTGACAGGGCTGAGTGGAAATGAGTGACAGGGCTGAGTGGAAATTATTAAAAAGAGATGCTGAGTAGAATAACTACTTTGTCGATCTTTTCGCCAACCATAACAAATATTCTAAATCAAATTGGTACTCACTAGAAAATGTGGCATTAATAATAATGATTACCTTATAATGGTCAGCCACTTGTGACTGAGATTTCGCTTCCATTATTTCTTCACGCAAATTGTTCACTGTACGTTCTAAGTCTTTCTTTTCATGCAATAGCTTCTCTGCTTCCATCTAGAATACAACATGCAAAGCATCATGCAACACACAATTGTTCAGGGCAACTACCAATGCTTATGTAAACTGAGGTACCCGTCTGAACTCCCTTCTGGTGATTTTCATTAGCTATATTACAGTTCCTGCTATATAAACTGATGATTTAGATAATGGAACTATGAAATTTTGTATTCAATTTTCCCCATTATTGCCTGCTCTTGTGTTTTTGAATCACAAATACCTAAGGTGGCTGGAAACAGTTGCAGCTATTCATCTGGATTCCATATTTCAGACCCACCCACTAGACCATCTTTTTTCTTTTTTCCTGTTTATGTTTTAACATATGATGTTTAAAAAACTATTCTCTCCCCCTAACATAAGATAATTTTCCAGAAATTTACATTGAAGGAAAAGGATGAATTCAAATCGGATGGCCTTATGTTTGTGAATATTTAGACTCAAAAAGTCATTTTTTCATTTTGGTAGTTTCACTGAACATATAGTACACATAAAAGTGCTACAATAAAAGGTGACATGCTTCATAAATTGGTAATCCAGTATTTTCATATTTGTTCAGTATGAATAAAACAATATTTTCTAGCAATGCAATTCTAGGTAAATACCACCATCTATTAATCAAACTGAATTAATATTTATCAATAATTATGATAACAACTTTCACTTCTGAGAAAGGTTAATAATAAGGTTGGCCTATTCAAATAGTCAAGCAGTATTATATGCAAATAAATCAGTTTAAAATACAAAAAATATTTACACAGTTGTAGTAAAGCAAAACAGAACTATTACTGAAGGACAAAGAATTGATTAGTGATAGAAATATTCATTCTTCATGAGAAATGCTGGGTTAGGTTCAAAGTTTCACAACATATTTAAAAATACATTTGCTGAGAATATGTGCAAGACATTCATTGTGTTATTGCCCCCACTCCAAACTTGGGTTTTTATGTTAGAAAAGATTCTGTCAAAATATAAATGTATTATGTCTTATTCATTGAAGCAATTCAACAATTTATGAAGTTTAGACATCCAAGGCTACTCCAGAGAATCAACTATCACATCAAATGATAATACCGGTAAATGTTATATCAATGTACAAAAGTTTGATTTCAACTTATTCATGAAATAAGGCTTCCAAACATGTACATAATCACTGCTGGAACATTGTATTTTAAAGGATTTCCTTTGATTATACATGGGATAAATGGGGTACTCTGTGATGCGGAATGACATACACATCTTACATACCCTGTAGTAATCAGCTTGTCTGGCCTTGGGAGAGAATTCAATCATTTTCTCATTGAGCCTTTGCAGTGAATCTTCTAATGTTGCTTTTTCAAGCTTTACAACATTCATCGTGTATAACTCTTCATCTTTCTCCAAAAGTTTCTGCTCTAATTCATGCAAACTATCTTCTAGTAGAGATTTTTCATCAGCGAATTTATTCTGATTTTCTGATTCTTGTTTAATCTTTTCGTCATGTAGTTCATCGAGGGTTTCTTTCAGAATTTGTTTTTCAGCTACAAGTCTTTGGATTTCATCGGATTCAATTAATGTCATATCGGCCATTTTGATTCTCATTTCAGCCATCTTGCTATCAACTTCTTCGAGAGACTGTCTCAGTTTATCATTTTCTCGATTCAATTGTAACATTCTCTCCGAATCAGATTTTTGAAATTCTATGATTTTATTATTGGCCTCTTGAAGTGATAATTCTAGAGTCTGTTTTTCTTTTGAGAGATTTGATACTTCAGTTTCAAACCCAATCTAAAGTTAGAAAAGCAAACATCGAAGAACTAGTGTTATTCTACAGTGACTGTATGTGTAGCACACATTCCAAGAGTTTTCCTCAGAACATAAACCATAAAGGAATAGCTGATGGATTGCTCTTGATGCATGCACTTTTTAAGAAGTCGACGATGAAGAAACCATTGTATTTTCTAAATAAATAAATGGTTATAAAATTTGTACTTTTGATTTTCAAATCATTCAGAATGTAAATGATGTTGGATATCAAAATATTGTAAATTTTCATCAAAACACAATAATTCATTATCTAATCATAATACACATCACAAATTTGCTATAATTTCTTCATCGCTGACATAAGAACAAACTTGCATGCAATTTAGTGTTGGGAATTCCAAATGTCAGAGTTCCATAAACACTGGCCACATTGAAAAAGACAAGCCAGTTAAAGCCTAGGTATTCAGTAAATGTGGTGTATATATGGACCTAACATTTGAAAAAATCCCATATGTTTTAATTGCAATACAAAACAATAAAACAAATTAACACATTATTATTAGTCAATTGAAACTCAAGACATACTTTGACAAGTCGATTTTACTATTTCATATGACAAATGCTTTTCATTATCTGTTGGTTTAGAAATGAAATGGAATCAATCATAAGAAAATCTCTTTAATCAATGCATGTCTTAAGAGTAAACAGTGCTACACACAACAATGAATGCTAAACTGATGGGCAGATGAGTGTAAACAGTTGAAAACAAACTCACTATTGTAAACTGTTAGTTAATCAAATAGTAATTTGTTCTATTCACTGAAGCAAAAACTCCTTAAGGTTAGCAGAACTGTCAAAGCCTAGATTTCCTAGGTGCATTCATTTTCACATATTGGCCACAGTTAATAAATTGTTTGTCATGATTCCATGATATTCCATGATTTTCAATTGATGAGGTAATGATTTTGTTGATTTTGAAACATGGGTTGGAAATGCCTTTGATTGATACAATCTTTCAATGTTTCAAAGTTGAGAAAAGAACAGAGACGTCACATGTGTCGAACATTGGGGATATTTATTTATTTGATTATTTTATTTGTCTATAAGACATCAGTATAACTAGAAATAAACAGACGAGAAGTTGGTGGTGAATATGATGTTGCTGTTAGTGAAAATATTTGCTTTTATAGTATTGTACTTTAATTGACATTAAAGCAGATATATGTCAGAGGTGCACAATATCAACAGACAGTTAAGCAACCACAAGCTTATGTCTCAGTCACATTTGATCTACCGCAACCATACGGTGGCAGTTGCTTCCCTAACTGACAGAAATATACAGCATAAAAATAGGGATAAGCAGAACAATGTAGAATTTCTACATCAATTTTGTGAAGCCAATGTTGCCATATGTCTGCAGAAAAGCAATATGACTGAGGCTTAAGTGAACACAAAGACTAAGAACAACTTGGAATACATCTCATTTGACATAAGATCAATGAGTGGTCAAATAGCATGTTTGATGAATCCATGCTTTGTTTAATTGCATTGACCAACCATGAGCTATTACTGTGACATGAACTAGTGGACTACCTAAAGTAGACAAAACAGTATCTCTTGCCAATGCGATCATCAATAGTGACCAAAGTTCCACCTACCTTTTGCTTGTTGGTTGCTTGTAAGCCCTCCTGTTTTACTACGTGTATAGATTCATTTTTCTCCACTTGTAGTTGTTCGATCTGCTCCTCTAGGTTCTCCCGTGTTGTATTGTTCTCCTCCAAGGCACGTTTTAACCTGCTGTTCAGAGCTTCAATCGTGTCATCAGCCTGGTTAGAAAATCATAAATTACTGTTATTCTCATTGGGCATGGGTTTTGACAATACTTTCAACAATACAGTATTTAATTCATCATGGGTTCGATCCCCACTGGGGTGGACTGACTTTTTCACATCAGCCAATTAACCAATTCATTTCATTGCTTTTTGCATTTCAGTAGGGTAAACAAGTTTCTGAGTTATTTTTGTATCATAACAAGGGAGGTTATATTGACTGGAGACTTTACTAGCTGTATCGGTACAATATCAAGCTTTATCGTTAATACTACAATTGTTTATCAACAACAATTAAATAGTTACTTTTCGCTTGGCATCTTTAACATTAGCAAGGTTTCTGTTTAGCTCTTCCACCTTCTGTTTGTACCCATCTCCCCCCTCCAACTGCTGCTGAAGTTCAAGTATTTCCTCCTCTAACATGCGACTCTTGTCCTCCAACATATGCCTTTCCTCATCAAATGCACTCTTCAATCTTTCCATTTGGTCAAACATCTCATCCTGATGGTAAATATCAAAAAAATGAATTCCTGATAAAATTGAAGTGGATGGTAATCAAGTATACGAAATGAGAAAGATGCAATTCTGGAAGTTGGAGTTCTCAAACAGGAGATCCATTTTTTATTTGAGTGAATTCTCACCTCCATTTTCTCCCTCATCTCATGCTCATAGCTGTCCTGGTCGTGTACATAGTTCTGGTCCATGTCATCTATGAATCTCTTATACTGTGCTTCTATCTCTAACTTCTCTGCAGTGTACTCTTGACCTAGAAAGAGATGTGTTTCATACAAACATACACGTATACAAAGAAATACTAAATACATTGCAAATCACATTTATGCGGGCCAGTAATATCCTAAACAAAATACATATACATTAAAACCTTGTATTTGTGAACACCTCCCTCTACAGTAAAATTTGAAATGTTTGGAACTACTTTGAATTTAAAAAATAAGCAATCAAATGACTATATTGCAACAGTATATGAAAAAATGGAAACATATGTACAAGTCCTAACTTTGTATATTTCAGATAGTTATGTATAATGTGCAGCTGTGGCCTTTTGTAATTTAGGGAGTTTCAGCCAAGTTAATTTTTCGAAAATAACATGGCAGAGAAGCATCAAAATATAAGAGGCCACAGATATGATAGATCAACTACAAAACAAACTAAAATATACAAAAATTAGGACATGTATAAATGTTTCTATTTTTACATATTCTGTTTCAATATGGTCTTTTAATTGCTTATTTTTAGATTCAAAGTAGTTCCAAACATTTAAAATTTTACTGTAGTGAACACAGTTCTCTAGTGGTCATCTTCCTCCGCACATACTCCTCTGTCTTCTGTATAAATTTCCCACTCTGTAAAGAACAACTACCTACAGAGAACACTGTGGCTCCTTATGGCCACAATGGCTCCATAAGTGTTCACTGTACATAGGTTTTACTGAACACAGTTCTAATGTCATATGAGCCTGGCCATCACAAAAATTAATTGTGCTACAGAGCCAAAAATGTGCCCAGGATTAAGAGGAAAGTGTGCTAAATTCAAATCAGACATTTTGGTCTATATATGCAAGGAAATATTGTTAAGACATAAGCCATGGCTCAATTGAAAGGTTTCTTTGTGCTTTTTAAGATAAACAAAAAATCAGAATATTGAAAAAATCTGTGATAAGACCCCTTTTCCTGTGGCCTGGCTCATATACAGCTACATTATAATGGATAACTTAGTATTTATTGTCTCCTTACATATTCTTGCCACCTCCTCTTCATGTTTAGCAACCAGAGCAGCTTGTTCACTGGCCAACCACTCAGCCTTTTGTTTCTCCAGTATGGAGTAGAAGTCTTCCTTCAGCTGACCCTTCAGTGATGCTTCACCCTTGAACCAGAGTGTGAATTATTGTATTGTAAATTAAAATTACCAGTATGTAAAAAAACACTTTTCAATTTGTAAAACTGATAAGATTTGCCCAAGTTTGGATCTAGGAAGTTTTAAAACATTATTCTTCGGAAATGTGCACAGTTGTAACTCTACAGACCTTTCATGAGATATTTTTAAAAATTAGATATTTACATATTATTGCACTTTTTATTGCATATTATTGCTTTATTGTAAATCTCTTACTATTAATTATAATGGGGCTTAGATTTGTTCCATTCTCAGGTTACTTTTCAAGCCTTCTCATTTTTTATGATAATCTTTATCTTATTTTGAACAATTAAAACTTACAATATCGACATGTAAAAGACCAGGTTGTTCAATAAGTTCATGCAAAAAAATTTTCATTTTCTACTTTAAAATTTTTTATGAAACTTTCACAGAAAGTACAAAAAAAATTATGCATCAGGACACAAAAAATACATAAATTGCTTTGTTATGACTGAAAAAGTAATGGTTACTATGGTAACTTGTGTTTTGGTCGTGCGAAGCAATTTTTCTTTGCTCTGAACTCTGATCAATACATTTCTGCTTGCAAATCAGAGCTTAGAGAAAATTGAGCATGTAAAAATAATCAACAAAGCAGACTGCAAACATTTAAATCCTGGGGAGACCTCAGAACTTATTGAACAACCTGGTATATATAACAATGAACATCTTTATTTCAACCATGAGAGCCACCTATTGACTCACCAGGCACCAACCGCTAGGGCCGCTGCAGCTACTGCCCCACTGGACAGTCTAAACTGTGGGGACATTAAACTTTCATTTGACTTAACATATGATATATTGTTTCATAATTTCATAAACATAATTTGAAGTGCATAAAATAATTTATCCTTCTTACTGGTTTATTTCATCTATCATCTGAGAATTGAAAAATAAAAATAAGAAAATTGGAGATTGAAGAAAATATTATATGGCACTTATGTTTCACATGATTTCAGTGAATCAGTAAATAAAATTAGTTTCATGTTTCTAGCCATAGAGGAATGATTAAGACACACAGCAAGCACATACTATGGTTATGTTGTATCTTTGAGTACAGAAAAACCTGTATAAATGGAACATCTTAATTTGTACCTCTAAAAGTGTTTCACTTTGGAGGTGTTCCACTTGTAGGGATTCATTTACGTTTAGAGAGTTGAAGTGTTCCAATAACACACGTGTTCCACTTTACAGGTTTCAAATTACATATTTCAAATATACAATAAAGAACATGATTTCCTACCTTACTAAACATTGAATCATAATCCTTCATTTCCATCCTATGTTTCTCTTCCAGTTCCCCAACCTCTTGCTGGTATCGTTCCTTGATTGCGTTACGTTCTTTTTCAAACTCAGCCTCCAAGTCATTATGCAACTTCTCAAGACGCTCCTCATACTCAGCACTTTGACGAGTTGATTCCTCAGATTCAATTCTGTATAATATTACAATAAAATGTTTATAACTGTGATTGTGACAAAATTTTAATTTGGCATTGTATAGACTTTAATTTGTATGCTTAACATATTTGTCAATATAATGGAATATCAGAATCTTTATTTTTGATTATGATGCAATCTTTTATTTACAAGCTATATGTAGGATAATAACTATGACTGTGACAAAACTTTGAAATGGCCTTGTACAGACAATGCATTGGATAATTCTGCCATTATTGTGTCAATATAGATGGAATACATGCATTGACTTCAATGATATCATTTGCATCAATGCAATATTCTAATTTTATTTTCCTATATAAATGAACAGATCATTTATCTGACATCAAGTCACTTCATACTATTTCATCAAATTATATGTATTAACGTTAGATTAAAGGTTTTTATTATATTTTTTTTTATTATTATTTTATTAAAGGAATATTCCTTGCCAAACCATTTCTCTCCTCATATGGTAGCTATAACCATATATATGCTTGCCATGTTTAGCAAAACACGCAAAAATGTTTTGATATGGTCAAATTTGATCACTTAGAAATGCAGGGCTTGCATTAACGGCGTCCCTGACATGTTAAGGACTCAAAAATAATTTGGAGGACGCAAAAATTGAAAATATTTCCGTTTTTTGGACGCAAAATTTTTTTAGGTCAATACTACAATGTGTTTACAACGATATCTAACAAAAACAAATAATTATGATCTCTCACCTTTATTTGAATCGTAAATAAGGCTCAACATGTTGAATATTTACAAATAATCATGATTCTCTCAGATTTTTTTGACTTTCTTTATTTTTAGATTTGAAACCATGACACGCCACAGTTTTTCCTATTCAGAAACAAATATTAGGTTATTCATGAAATAAAATGTATTCATTGTCGAATGAACGAACATGCATTTATTCAGTCCGTACTTAACGTTTACTTCCGTTTTAAATTCGCGGCAAGAAATCAAAAACTGAAAGGTGTTTTGGTAAAAAATGCTTTTAAAATAAAGTTATACCTCAAAACAGGCTAGAAATAGGGGACACACTTTTTTTTCAAAGGACACACTTTTTTTAAAAAAATTGCGTCCGTGGGACTCACAAATTTTCTAACCTAATGCAAGCGCTGGAAATGTGATGCTCAATTCCAGTAAGCTGCAATCTTTTAAATTTCACACAGGAAGTGATGTCATCGACTCTCAACTTTGCATATAGCATTAGGTGAGGAGCTATTAAGAATTACAAAACCAGCTAAATATTCTTTTTCAACTTTGTATCTTATTTAATCCTTCTGAAATCTCTTCTTTTATTCTAAGTTGACAAGCCCTGAAAATATTTTTGCACAGAAAGTAATGATCACTTGTCTAGAAGTGATTTTGTGCTACTTTCCTATACTGTTATGGGCAAGGTCATAGAAGTTGAGAGTTGATGACATCACTTCCTGCAAGAAATCTTAAAAGATGGCAGCTCACTGTAAATAAGCACTAGATTTTTAAATGATCAATATTGACCATATTAAAACATTTTCCCATGTTTTGCTAAATATGGAAACTATATATATGATTATAGCTACCATATCAAGAGAGAAAGGGTCTGTCAAGGAATATTCCTTTAAAGGCATTTATTATCAAATAATCAAATTAACATTAGATTACCTACAATCATACCTCTATTTTCAAACATAATATTGCTAGTCTAACATGTTTTAAGCATGTTTTTAATGAAAAATAGTAGTTATTTAGTTAGTTAATTGTTAATAAAGCAACATGGTGTATGTCAGTGTACAGTCAAACCTGTTCATACAAACATATGGAAGATCTGAAGACTGTCTTTGTCTGAAAGGTGTTAACAATGGACAGGTTCCACTGCACATACCAGCTAACCAGTCACTTTGATCATGCAAATAATCCAAACTATTTCTCTCTTCAATTACAAAGAGAACATGTTGAAATATCTCCAGTAGTTGGGTAAAAAATTGTCCCCTCTAAGGATCTAAATCTGAGCACTGTTAAATTGAAAGCACCCACAATTTAAGCTGACAGAAAATCAAATTTTCATTTTACGATTTTACAATCTTTTTACAACTGTAAGAATATGAACATGTTCCATAAAATGGAATGAGCTTGACTACTGACTAGTATTAGTGTTTTCCTATTTAATTGCAGACCTGTTATGTGTTAGTACATGTGGAGAGCCAGGTGATCCTTTCTCTTGACTGGACACACTTTTCTTCATTTCTTCATACTGGAGCTGAAGTTCCTCAGAAAAATCACTTTGCAATCTAAGAAATGACAGCACATAAGCTTATCTAATAGAGGCAATTAAGTACAAGGCATTAACATGATAAAATGTCACCACGTTGTTGCTCACAATATTATAAGTTCAATCTTATTCAGATTTGAATTTCTTAGAACTTGTAGATGATTTTGAAAAAATAAATTGGTCAATTTGAAGCTAGTTGTAAAAGGACCTTTTTGACCCTGAGAAGGTCATTGAAGGTGGAATCTCAAATCTAAAGTCAGATTTGAACTTGTGAGAACTTGTAGATGATTTTGAAAAAAATTGGTTAATTTGAAGCAAGATGAAAAAATACCTTTTTGACCTTGAGAATGTCATTGAAGGTCAAATCTTTTTTGACCTTGAGAATGTCATTGAAGGTCAAATCTATAGTCAGATTTGAACTGTTGAGAACTTGTAGATGATTTTGAAAAAAAGATTGGTCAATTTGAAGCGAGTTGAAAAAAGACCTTTTTGATCTTTCTTGACCTTGAGAAGGTCATTGTAGGTCAAATCTCAAATCTATTCAAATTTGAACTTCTGATAACTTGTAGATGATTTTGAAAAGAAATTGGTCAATTTGAAGCACATTGAAAAGACCTTTTTGACCTTGAAAAGGTCATTAAAGGTCAAATCTTAAATATAAAGTTAGATTTGAACTTCTGGAAACATGTAGATGATTTTGAAAAAAAGTGAAGTCAGTCTAAACAGTATTTGTTAAGTTATTGGAAGTTGTAAGAATTTGTTACAGAGATGTTAAAAACAGAGACCATAACAATATGTCACGACTTTTTGGTGGTGACATAATAAAGTACCAGAAATTCATTAAAGATTATGTACAATATTTGTCCAATTATATTTTTCTCTCCACATTTTTTGCACATTTTCCTTCATGAAATCTGTGAAGTACAGTATATGTTAGTAACTAAGAGGTATGAGAGGGGGGCTTAAATGACACACAAATTCACAAAAGCGTTTGCACACAACAATTCAACACTGCAAAATGAAAAGAAAAAGATTCTTTAACTAAAAATAGATGTCATCAGTATGTTATCTATCAGAATTTAAAGCTGTATGAGTAATATGAGTGCAGAAAGTAACACAAGACATCTATCATTACATCTAGATTGGGGAATATCCCAGAATTCATAGATGAACCTACATGTAGAGGTCAATCTTTACATGAAGATTGGTTCATCTATGAATTCTGGGTTATTTCCTACTCTTTATATAGCCATACACTAATGTATATAGTAGCCAAGCACAATCGATTAATGCTTGTGTGACATAAATAGAGATCTCTTATGGAAAATGGTCTCCCTTTAATAGGTGTGCCATTAATTTGACACTTTCAGTGAAACAAATTCTTCAAAGATTTATGCAGTGACTTGGTTCTGGTCTACTCATTGCTGTAACATATCAAAAAGGGTGACATGGGTCCATTCATAATATATGTTAGGTGAACCATTCTTCATGGGAACTGTAATTCAATGTCACATCAATATTCTGAATTTAAAGTTTACCTTTGAGTCAATTGAACCTTTTCCAAAGCAAACTTCTGTTCCAACTCATCCTGAATGGCTGATTTTTCCCTGTGAATTTGTTCCTCATGAGCAAGGCTCAACTTTTCCTGCAACAAATATTATGTTTTTAATACAGAATAAGATATGTACATGTGCTTTTAATGTTAACCTCTTTATTCAGACACTCCTCTCCATATGAATGGAAAAGGCAATAACATGCAAAATGTCACCTCCTGCCATTTTTAACAGAAGCCGGTGCTAAACACCAGCTACTTAACACCAAACACCAACTACTGTCCATAAAAATCCTTATTTTCCCAAATATTTGGCATTTATAATGTAGAATCAGGATTTCCATTCTTTTGTAAGAAGTGTACACTTACCTTTTCAGCAGCAAAAGTATTCTCCAGCGCCATCTTTTCTTCTGCATGGGATTTTTCTAATTCCATGACCTCTTGTTTGAATGCCTCTTCAATGTCTCGTTTCTCAGAATCAAACATCTTCTGTAAATCTTCAACTTTCTTGTCATGTTCTTTTTGCTGGGTTTCTAGTTGAGATTTCACTTTCTCTATCACAGATACTGTAACATAAAGAAAGATTATTTAAAGGAAAAAAATGTTTATTAGAAACTTGCAAGTACATTTTTGTTTTCACTCACAGCAATCAAGATAATTTCATCAGATTTGAACCTTTGGTCTATTTTTCAATAACATGTGATTTGGACGAGTAAACTCATCAGCAGACATGAATTTAATGTAAACTTTGTTATGGTACTACTGAAAATAGTTAAGTAATTGTTATAAAAGCAGAGCCGTTGAGGGGTCACTCTTGGCTGTTAATTATGTAATGCTATTTGATGATGTGTATAAATTAAGTAATATTTATACTGTCTGTAACACAAAAAGCAATTTATATTTGCAAGAATATTAAATCCATGGCTCTTGGCAATTTATCATTTCAAAATTTGTTAGTTGTTCAAAATCAGCAACAACCGATTTTGAATTCAATGATCAGTGAATTAGTGCAGTCAGAATGTGGGTTTCGGCGTGCGTTCAGAGGGATTTTATGGGACATAATTTTTCATGTTACTACTATGATTATACATATTTGTATGGATTATTAGATCTTAGTTTTTCAGCTTTTAGATTTTGTGGCCATTTTACCCCCCATGGGCTAAAATTTGGACCCCTACTATATAATTGGGCAAGAACTCAAAAAAAACTCAGTGGAATGTTTCCAAATTACTAAGTTATATTGGTATAGGCTAATTGAATATATGATCAAAATTTCATGTCACATGGTTAATTGGTTGCCATGGAAATGGATAAAACATGCCCTTCTGGTGTCAATTTTCAGGCCAATTTTTCAGGACTGACAGAGTCATTTCATGCATATTTTGTCACCAATGTGTTAGGATAGGTTAAAATGTCAATAGAAAACTTCTATAATATATAAGCAACAATTGTATGTTAAGATCAGTCCACAAAACCTCAGATTTTGGCCTTGTATTGGTCCATGACTTATACAGGGGTCTATTCATAGACTCGAGCTCCCACATTGGATGGATGCTATAACTTTTGAAATAATGGAGATACAGGTCTCATTTTTTCAGATCTTCATAAATGGTTAGTTTTAAGTATTCTATTTTACTTTGGGAGCTGACATGTGATTGGTTGCCATGGTAACCAGGGTTTTAGGGAAATTCCGACCCCCACATTGGATGGATGCTCTAACTTTGGAAATAAGGGAGATACATGTCTCATTATTTCAGATCTTAGACAATGATTGATTATAAATATTAAATTAGACTTTGGGGGCTGAAATTTGATTGGTTACCATGGTAACTAGAGTTTTATTGAAATTTGGACCTCCTCAATTGATAAATGCTTTTATGTTTGAATTCAAGCAGATACAGATATCATCATTTCAGATCTTAAAAATTAATTAGATTTGTGTATTGAATTAGACTTTGTAGCTTAGCATTTACTTGATTGCCATGGTAACCATGTTTCATCGTCATGGTACCCCTAATTTTTTTATTTCAGTCTTACCTTCATTTGAGAATGGTCAATTCACAACATGTTATACCAAAATGCTCAAAATTATCATTTTGCTCTTTATTTCAGCAATTTATCCTGTATGTCTGACAGTGTAGCCTCATTCCATTCTACTAGTTCTCACACATATTCAGACTCCCAACTTGTTTTTACTCATCATTATCTTTTCATCTTCCACAATTGCCTCTTAATTAAAAATATCAACAATTTCTATTGGAAAGAAGGATTCTTTTGACCATTCTTGTGTTAAAGATTCGTCAGGGAATTCACAGTTCATTCATGCAGTGTTGGGCATAATGGTAGAGCTGGGTTTAGGCTGGTGGGAATGTGTCCATACATAGGTTTGATAATTTACTCTCTTCAAATGTGAAAGAAAATGTCAACACCTTCATAAGTGAGGGCAGCATTGTTCTGTTTTTTTCTGTATCTCATGGGAAACAGCTCATCTATTAGTGGCAGTTATTTTTCTATTTCTGCTGTTTTGTTGTATTTCTGCACTGGAGGAATCTGATCCAGTAAACGCATTGAAGGCTAATATAGCTTCACACAGGACTTGGTCCTAGGTTTTCAGCTACAGGGGTTGGGTTGAGCTTCTGACATCTAATGGGACAGAGTTCACATCAGTTGAGGTTCTTAAGGTTATTTTCTTCATAATAGGAATCAATATAGAAATTCCTGACACAATAAAATCCAAAGTTGAATTGTTCACCAGTAAAAGTACAGCAGAATAACAAAAATATATTTGTAACTTACATCAATAGATAACAATATGAGCTGTTTCACATAAGATATTCTCCAAAACAGAACAGTCCTGCCCTCACTTATGGAGGTGTTGACATTTCAACTTTTCTCATCTTTCAAGATTGGTCCTTGACTGCTTTCATAGCAGCTAATATAATGCAATGAATTAAATGATGAACTCTTCCATCTTGTAATGATTGCTCATTATAACATTTGAAGAGGATGGATGATAAAACTTATATTTGGAAGTGGAAACATTACCCCCCGTTTCCCAGGAGTTCACTGTATATAAACCTTGAGGGGATCCTCAGCTCAGGTGAGTTACTTTTGACATTTGATATGGCAATGGACCCAAATTTTAGGATCTGGTATGAGAATGCTCTCCAAATTATGAAAGGTATAGCAATGGTCGGATTTGGGAATGGTTGTGAAAAATATGTTGCCCCTCACTTGTTGCACATGTATGGCATTGATCTAGTATATCCTTAATGTGAGGTTGTTTTTGGTTGTTTTCCTCAATGATCTGCCTTCTTCTCGAAATTTTGAATGGCCATGTTTTCATATCTAGTTATTTGGTATGGCACTGGTCATATATTTGGGCATTTGGTATGGCTTTTGGGCATTATTTTGGTTGATATCGGAACACATTCAAATTTGACAGATTGGATGGGAACATATTGATACCTGAGGGTTCAGCCTTGGACCCCAGCCAATTTTATATACAGTGAAACCACAGGGACCAGTCTTAACCCATTCTGCCAAGTCCAATACTGCATGAATGGACTATATCCCCTGAGGATCCTTATCTCCAGAATGGTCAAAACAATCCTTCATTCCAACAGAAACTGATGTTAAGAGGAAATTGTGCTAAATGAAAACAGTAATGATGAGTTCAAATGAACAAATTAGGAGTCAGAACTTTTGTAAGAACTAGTCGTATGGAATAAGGCAATATTGTCAGACATACATGTATTGTTTACTAGTATTTGATATTTTATGAGCCAAACAATGTTTGCATCTCTAGTATTATTGAGTCATGAGCATGTAAATCATATAAAATAGAAAAAAAAAATTAAGAATAAAATGGTAACTTTGAGCAATTTGGTATTTTATGTCATGTATTGACCTATCTAGAATAAAGGTGAATCTGAAAACGAAAACAGCAGTTACCATGACAATGAAACATGGTTACCATGGCAGACAAATAAATCCTAGCTTCCAAAGTCTAATACAATACACACATATTATTATTATCTTACATCCGAAAAGATTATCTTATCTGGCTGTATTTAAGAGTTATAGTGTTCATCAATTGTGGAGGTCTGAATTTCAACAAAACCCTGATTTCCATGGTAACCAATCAATCATTGTCAAAAATCTGAAAAAATGAGACATGAATCTCCCTTATTTCAAAAGTTATAACATCCATCCAATGTCGGGTCAGGATTTCCTTAAAACCCTGGTTACCATGGCAACCAATCATATACCAGCTCCAAATGTATATTAAAATACTTAAAACCAACCATTTATGAAGATCTGAAGAAATGAGACCTGTATCTCCCTTATTTCAAAAGTTATAGCATCCATCCAATGTGGGGGTCGGAATTTCCCTAAAACCCTGGTTACCATGGCAACCAATCACATGTCAGCTCCCAAAGTAAAATAAAATACTTAAAACTAACCATTTATGAAGATCTGAAAAAATGAGACCTGTATCCCCATTATTTCAAAAGTTATAGCATCCATCCAATGTGGGAGCTCGAGTCTATGAAATAGACCCCTGTATAAGTCATGGACCAATACAAGGCCAAAATCTGAGGTTTTGTGGACTGATCTTTACATACAATTGTTGCTTATATATTATAGAAGTTTTCTATTGACATTTTAACCCTTCCTAACACATTGGTGACAAAATATGCATGAAATGACTCTGTCAGTCCTGAAAAATTGGCCTGAAAATTGACACCCGAAGGGCATGTTTTATCCATTTCCATGGCAACCAGTTAACCATGTGACATGAAATTTTGATCATATATTCAATTAGCCTATACCAATATAACTTAGTAATTTGGAAACATTCCACTGAGTATTTTTTGAGTTCTTGCCCAATTATATAGTAGGGGTCCAAATTTTAGCCCATGGGGGGTAAAATGGCCACAAAATCTAAAAGCTGAAAAACTAAGATCTAATAATTCATACAAATATGTATAATCATAGAAGTAACATGAAAAATTATGTCCCATAAAATCCCTCTGAACGCACGCCGAAACCCACATTCTGACTGCACTAAATGCAATGTTTAGTATATGTAGGAAATACCTTCATCATCACTGGCCATGTCGCCAGCTCCGCCATGTTTCACTCCAACCTTAGGGAGCTTCCTGCGTGTCCTCGTAGGTGTACCAAGTCCTGCTGTGGGATCATCATCCTCTGACGTACCTGCAAAACATTATATTATATTAACAACATATAGTCCCCGATCTGATTTCCAAAAGGGCTCTAGAAAAGGGGTTTTGTTGTCCGGTACTTTCCCACATAAAATGATTGTACCGTTTGAAAGAACAGACTTCCCTCTTAAAGAAAACACCTCTTCTATTGATGTAAACAGGGGCAAAAGGCACCAAAACGGGGTTAGACAAGGTGGCATTCTGAAGTCTCACTTTCTTGTCATCACGATTCCAGGTAAACCATTAGACGGATTTACTTCAAATTTTCACACATGTAACATGGTAAGAAGTTCTAGAGCTGATTAACTTTGCGGCGGCCATCTTGCATTCTGGCGGCCATCTTGGAATTTTTTTGCGATAAATATTGTCATCGCGATTCCACAAAAACCACGTAACAGATGTACTTCAAATGTTCACACATGTTACATGGTAAAAAGTCCAAGACCTCATTATTTTTTCGGTGGCCATCTTGCATTCTGGCAGCCATCTTGGAAGTTTAAAGATAAATCTTGTCATCACAATTTCAGGAAAACCAAACGGATTTACTTCAAATTTTCACACATATTACATGGTAAGAAGTTCTAGAGCTAATTAACCTTTCGGTGGCCATCTTGCATTCTGGCGGCCATCTTGGAAGTTTTTTTGGATAAATCTTGTCATTGTGATTCCAGGAAAACCACTTTACTGATTTTCTTGAAACTTTTACACATGTTACAAGGAAGGTTACATGCTACCTTTTATATTGATATAAACAGGGGCAAAAGGCAGTTAAGTGGGGTTACACAAGGTGGTATTCTAAGGAGAATGTTATCTATTTTTCTGTATTTTAAACCACATTATTTGACATAAATGCATATTTGGTGTATGATATCATGTTTTATATTGATAGAAACATGGGCAAGAGGCGTTACAATGGGGTAACACATGGTGATATTCTAAAATACATATCTTTACTCTGCTTCTGTACTTTATACCACTTAAATGCATTTTGTGTATGTCATCGATTGATTTTTAGAATAAATAACTACATTTCATCAAAAAGAAAAAAGATTATTGAAAACGTCAAACATGTCTTTGAAATCCATTATTGCACAGCGATTATTGAGAGCGAAATGTATGCTAAATTGGCCTTGATCTGAGTATATAACGGAATTAAAGCTCTTTTAAACGAAAATGTAAATGTGTGGAAAACCTTTCACTGTGCATCATGTCAACGAAATGTTCTTCATGCAGTTGAATTATCTTCTGGACAGGTGATCACACAGAAGGAGAGACCTGCGTATCATATCCTTACTAAATATAAACAAAAATGACAAATGAGAAAGGAAAAAATTGTAAAGCAACCTAGTGGGAAAAGCAAACTGTAAAGTGTAAAACTGGCAAACAAAAATCAAACCTGAATATCCCAAGACAAGAATCTAATATGGGAATAAACAGCATCCACACCGTTCAATGACCAATTCCTCATCAACGACCAAAACTCCGAGGGACATTCCATTCATACTGAAGTCATTAAAATACATGTTGAAGAAAAATTGAAAATAATGATATCCAATACTCTTAAGATCAAAAATAGTTGTAGATACTATAGTACTCATAAAAGCTGCAGATAACGTTTCTTCATCAGGAAAGCAAGCTGTCTCTTAGTCAGATATTAACTAACGAGCTGGTTCAGAGCACCAGCATGTCATACTATGTGAATGGGCTCTGTATCCACAATGTTGCGAGTTCGAGACACATGTGCTCTTTGCGTTTAATAATCAACAAAAATCACTTAAACCTGCACTAAAACTGTGTGTCAGATCGATATAAGTATAGGGTTTGGAAACTAATTGTACCAACAAAAAGAACTTGAAAAACACTGCTACAATATCAACGTAAGCTTTCAATAGTAGTGACGATGCAGAAACATGCAAAATGTCACCACACCTTGTTAAGTATACAGTACACATTAACTACTGAACAGTGTCAAGATAAACGTTCGAAGCAATTACAATATGTCACCCAATCACTAGTGGTGGTGACATAAAAATAATGTATAGAAAAATCTACTCGTGATTGATAGAAGAACTGATTGTTTACTCTAAGTTTTCAACTAAATATATTTCTAATAAGCAATGTTTTATCGAAAAGAAAAAATACTTTCATGTTATATAAAATCAAATAAATTAATTATATTTTTTTTCGTTATGTTAGTTACACCAGTAATAATAAACCTGTTTATAAAGTGGTGTTAACTAGACTATATAATTTAACAGACATAAAAGTAATAATAAACCTGTTTATAAAGTGGTCTTAACAAGAATATAGAATTTAACAGTCATAAAACCTAAAGAAATATACCAGGAAGGGACCATTGTGAATGTAAATGTATAAAGTGTGAAAATTTGAAGCAAATCTGTAAAGTGGTTTTTCTGGAATCGTGATGACAAGATTTATCTACAAACTTCCAAGATGGCCGCCAGAATGCAAGATGGCTATCGGAAAGTTAATAAGCTCTATAACTTCTTACCATGTAACATGTGTGAAAATTTGAAGTAAAACTGTTACGTGGTTTTCATGGAATCGTGATGACAAGATTTATCTAAAAACTTCCAAGATGGCCGACGGAATGCAACATGGCCACCGAACACGTAAGTAAAACTATGAAGTGGTTTTTCTGGAATCGCGATTACAAGATTTATCTATAAACCTTCCAAAATGGCTGCCAGAATGCAAGATGGCCACTGAAAAGTTAATCAGCTCTAGAACTTCATACCATGTAACATGTGTGAAAATTTGAAGTTAATCTGTTAGGTTGTTTTCCTGGAATCACGATGACAAGATTTATCCCAAAATTTCCAAGATGGCCGCCAGAATGCAAGATGGCTGCCGAAAAGTTATTCACCTCTATATTTTCTTACCATGTAACATGTGTGGAAATTTGAAGTAAATCCGTTTGGATTTCCTGAAATCGTGATGACAAGATTTATCTTAAAACTTCCAAGATGGCTGCCAGAATGCAAGATGGCTACCGAAAAAATAATGAGGTCTAGGACTTTTTACCATGTAACATGTGTGAACATTTGAAGTACATCTGTTATGTGGTTTTTGTGGAATCGCGATGACAATATTTATCTGAAAAAAATTCCAAGATGGCCGCCAGAATGCAAGATGGCCGCCGCAAAGTTAATCAGCTCTAGAACTTCTTACCATGTAACATGTGTGAAAATTTGAAGTAAATCCGTCTGATGGTTTACCTGGAATCGTGATGAAAAGAAAGTGAGACTTCAGAATGCCACCTTGTCTAACCCCGTTTTGGTGCCTTTTGCCCCTGTTTACATCAATAGAAAAGGTGTTTTCTTTAAGAGGAAAGTCTGTTCTTTCAAACGATACAATCATTTTATGTGGGAAAGTACCGGACAACAAAACTTTTTTTCAGAGGGTCCAGATCAGGGACTAATAGGGTCACTAATAGATATACAGTAAAACCTGTATATTTCAACAGCTTTCTTATCTGAACACCTCTCAATGTGAACTATTTTTGACAGTCTAATTTCTTATTTGCCTTGATAAATAGATTTCTATGTTTAAAAACAATCAAAATGTGAAAATCGCAATCTTATCAGTTTCGGCCTGTAACAGTGGCATTCGGTAGACAGATTTTATTTTAAATTTCAGTATCATCAGGGTTGTTTAGTGATAGTGTCTGTCCAGATGATCACAGCATATATTATTTCATATAATATATATGATCTATATATAATCTCTACATTGTTTACAAGCCACTAAAGATATGTAAAAAAAATACAATCAAACAAAAAATAAAAATTCTATAAAATAATATGTGCATTAGAAACTATACAAGTGCCAGACAATAACAATGCAAAAAATAAGCTAAAAATAAAATAAAATAAAATAATATACAAAGGGCTGGTCATTACAAGAAGCTTTCATATGGTTAAGAACTCCAAAGTGACTACAGTAAAACCTGTCTTCGTGAACAACACTCTAGTGAACACCTGTCTCCAGTGGACACCATTCCTATCCTCTACTGACTAATGTATAGGTTCCCCTCTCTGTACTAGTGAACACCTACCAATACTGAACATTTTTTATTGGCAAAAAAGGTTCAATATACAGGTACACAGGTTTAACTGTACTATGATTCTTAATTGCATCAACAGTTATTACAACAATTAATTGATACAGAAAATTCATGATAGCTTCTGGTATTTGATCCCTAGGTAACCCATGGTTAGTAATCTAATACATGTATGATAAACATTTACACATCACAGTTAACCTCAGAATCCATAAAATCTCAAAAGACTTATTGCACATTAAACTGTATTAAGCATTATGACTCTAAAATTGAAACTTCAAAACAATGACAATCACAATTCAATGATTCATATTGCCTGTCATAGTATTGCAGAGCAGACAGGAAAATTCTGAATCATGATCCATTAGAGTAACGTGTTAACACTTTAATTTATAAACAAGGTGTCAATATCTTATGAATTCTTGAGATATTAACGACAATTTCCCACTCCATACAACACTTTTTACAGAATTACCACTTTTAGAGAACTGAAGCACGAAGCAAAGCCTCCTCACCAATTGAAGCTTTCAAATATGCCAAGCACTTAAACGTAGAAATACAAAAATGATAGTCAAGCGACTTCATACTGGCATACTAATTTAATAACCAAACCAAAATCATATAATCTATAGTTACTATGGTACCGTGGGTACTGGGCTCACATGGTGAAGCTCAAAAAGTGAGAAATTTTTCTTCAACAAAAATGGCAGCCATTTTAAATAGGCAAGCTTTTGAACCAGGAGTCATCATATAGGGGGTTTTCTCTATTAATGATGAACAAAAATAACATGAATTCTATAGACAAAGGTTTCAAAGCATGCCACTATTGTTGACAGAGAGACAGACAACGGACAAGTGAGTGATTCCAATAGCCCACCATGTGAGCTAAAAACAGCATGCTAATCTTAATCTCGTAAATGTTAAAGAAACACAATATAAAATAATAAGTGCTCCTATCCCAAATAATTAAGTTGTATATGAAGAAATCAAAGAAAATTATTAAACTTGATAAAATAGTAGAAATAAAATGAATACCTGATGAAGATAATCCACTTCCTCTTCTTTTGAGTAATGCCGGTTTTTGATAATCCGACAGCACGGAACCCGATCCTCGTTTTATCTCCTGGGTCCGCCTGCGACCACGCTTCTTAGCTGTTGATAGCTGTTGTTTTACAGCCTCATTTTCAAGTGTCAATTCATCATTGCGATCCTTTAGTTCTTTGTTTTCACTCTCGAGTGTTTTTGATTTTTGTTGTATGAATCTATAATGTTCATCATTGGCAATATCCCGGCTAGATTCCATATCTGTAAGTCTTCGATGTAAATCTTCAGCAGTCTCAAGTTCCTTAGCTTGTCGTATCATTACACGATCATATTCTGTCATTTTGTCACTAAGAACTTTGAGATCTTTAGTTAGACGCTCACCCTCCTGAAAGATAAATAGAAACATTATGTTTAGGGTTCTTACCAGTTAATGATTGCTTGAATGAGAGGCCGTCGTTAAATATGAAGTGAAACCTGTCTTAGTGAAAACCTCTCTCTAGTGAACAGCTGTGTTTCGTGAACACCACTTCAAGACACATTTTACATTGACTCCTGTATAAAATCCATTCCCTGTAGTGATCACCTACCTAGAGTGAACACTTTTTATGGCTCATAGGTGTTTACTATATACAGGTTTTACTGTATTATATCCTGTCCCATCTTACATGTTTTTATAATACCCATACCTTTTCAGAGTACAGCAGCTTCTCCTTGAGTACAATTTCAGATTCTTTCAGTCGCTCAATGTCTTTCTCTAGCTTCTGGCGCTGCTTAGCTGATTGAGACATCATAATGTCTCTCTCATCCTCCATCTCGTTTTGAAGAGATCTGATTTGCTCTTGGTATTTCTGTTCCACAGACCTGAAATATTACGTATTAAACCATCAAAACATATTTCTCTTACCAGCATTTCTTGGTCCAGGTAGAAACTAAGAAACTGAATTCAATCTTAAATGATTTTTAGTCAAATAGATATTGAACACATGAATAGGTTTTCCCTATGAAATATGTCAATCTTTGCTCAATTTCAATGTTAAATATTTTAGGTAGGTTGGTAGGCAAATATAGTGCAAAAGCGACTCTTAGTGTCCTATTTGTCTCAATGATTAAGCATGGTGTTGTATACAAGGTGTTCAGGAAAGATAATAATGTCATAACTTTTCTATTTCTTCCTGGGTTTCAATGGAACTTTCAAGGATTATTGTCTTAACATATTAAATAACTGGAGATACAGCCTCGAGCGATTTGGTTGGTTGATTCTGTAGTTGTCGTATCAAACAGCACATTTAAACAAGGTAGTGATGTTGGACTTGCAGGAAAATAAAGCATCTAAATTGTAGTTCACAAAGACTTCAGGGGTAGCCTTGCCCAAGTCAGTCTCTCTATTAATTCAAGATCAGGAAAAGTAAAAAAAAAATACCGACTTGGGCAAGGCTAAGACAGGGGTAGTGGGACAATTTAACCAATAATACCTCTAATTCTACATGCCTATTCTTTATTTATATTGATATAAATGAAACATAAATTCGTTCACATGTCCAATAAACAAAATGCATGAGATATATGATAAATGTATACAATTAAATATATTCCCCATTCTGTATATAGCTCTTTAACTTGCACCAAACATTTCATTCAAAAAGTGCAAATTTGTATAAAAGCTATAGAATGACATGCAAACAAATAATAGAATTCCAATAACACATAACCAGAAATCTGAAAATAAAACATCAAAATGCATTGGGAAAAATAAACCATCAAAAATGCATTGGGAAAAATAAAAAATAAAAAATGCATTGGGTATTTGTTTATTTGAGTAAGCATTAAGCATTGTGGCAGTATATAAGCATATGAGGGGTCTTTGAGTCCAAACAAATCCATTCCTGAGATTCCAGCACCTAGTCAAAGTTTCGGTCTGTACCACCATGCCTTAACAGTATACTTACAAGTAAGTTTCTTTGATTTCGGTCAATTTCTCACTAAAATTGTTTGAAATGAAAATGTCAGCAAAGAAATTGTGTTGAAGTTATTCACAACAGGAAATACCAACTCAGTACAATACGAATTCAGTACAATACAAATTCAGTACAATATGAATTCAGTACAATATGAATTCAGTCAGTATGAACTCATTACAATATGAGTTCAGTACTAGTACAAGTGTTATACAACTACTATGGAAAATAGAACTAAAAGTGAAGACTGTTCCAAAATAGATTAAAATCCATTACTTTGGATCACCCTTTATGCAAGAAAGTTGGTTATAGTATGTTTGATGTTATCCAGTGAATACAGAAAGTGATATCAGTGAGAAAGTAATGGCATTAGAACTTAAAGAAGAGAATGGTTTTACAATATTTATCGTACAAAACACATATGATGTGGAGGCTAGAGAGTGCATGAATATATCAACAGATGTAAAGAAACATAATAATTTATGTAAAAATGAAGGATAAATTGATAGAATGCATTGGTTGGACTAGTTTGACCAATCCTGTATATATTGATGATGTCGATATATTCAGGCACTCTGTCCAGGTTATTGACAGTAGTATAGAGTTTTCATAGAACTGATTACCAATCAACTAATTTTTTTTTTGAATCTGATTAGCTAAAACATGAATCAGGTGACCACTAGTTATGCTCCACCAATAAAATTACACATCTATTTAATATGAACTGTAGTATTAGGTTATCAGTTTTTTAACAGATTCAAGATTCAAGATTTTATTGTGTTTCAAACCAAACACTTGGTTTCCTCACAAAATCAATTACAAGACATTTACATATAATTATACAGTTAAAAAAAAAACGACATGCATTGTTTCACAAATACCATCATACAATCTTTCCTTTTTCAAATAGCTCCCGACGCTGATTAAAAAGTTTATTTATAAAATGTATCAATTCGTTAACAATTTCAAAATCATCAGAAGTCATCAAAAAGTTATATTTTTCTTTATCCGACATATTATCAAATGTGTCAATAAAACTTAGTTTATTAAAAAATTCAAATCTACATTTTTTATAGCCATCACACACAAGAAGAAAATGCTTTTCATCCTCTACTTCCCCCTTATTGCAAATCTGACAAATTCTTTCATTTAATTCAAGTCGATGCTGTTTAGTGCCATCTTTTTTCTTTTTCTCGTGTCTCCCTGTTTCAATTCTTAAATTATGGTTTGCTAATCTAAACCTGGCCATTTTAAAAATTAACATTTTGTTCACGCTTAATGTTAAATATCTTTCCAGATTGTAATCAATTTTCATATAATTTCCAAGTTTTCTATTTTCCCTTATAGCTCTATCATTAAGTTCTATATATTTTCTTTGCATTTCAAGTTTAATTGCTTTTAGTAATCGTTTTATTCCAAACGTACTCCCATTTTCAAAGACATGTTGAAAATGAAAGTACTTTAATATGCATTCCATATGTTTGACATATATGTTATTTTTATCCCGAAATGATATATTTATTAAGCTTTCTGCGTTTGTTTGATGCACACATTTCAACCAATATTTTATGGAATATATAAGTGAGTCTATAGCTAATGGAAATCTTCCTAAATCTTTTTTAACGGCATAACTTGAAGTATATTTGTTAACCCCTAAAAGGAATTTGCAAAATTTATTGTGTATTTTTTCAGGAATAAAGTCTTCATAAGAACTCTCTAGTTTAAGGTCCCCTTGACTAATCCTTCTGTCAACTTTCAAGTGAAGCATTGACCAAAATTCACTTCCGTATAATAATATAGGCTTAACACACATGTCAAAGATTTTTGTGTGCAATTCTACATTGATAGTTGAAAACTTAAAATTTTGTCTCATCATAAAAATAACTTTCATCGCCTTCTTACTTAATTCTGATATGCCATGTTTCAAACTCCCAGAGCTTTTTAAAACAAATCCCAAATATTTATATTCATTTACTTTTTCTATATTTATACTTCCAAATTTAAAATGACTGTGTTTTATTATTTTTCCTGATTTATTAAAAATCACAACTTTCGTTTTTTCAATATTAATGTTTAATTTCCATTTTGAACAATATGTTTTTAGTTTATCAAGACAGTATTGTAGTCCCTCATTTGTTTCTGATATCAAGACCAGATCATCCGCATATAAGAGTACATTTATTAACGTTTCATCATTACTACCGATTTTGACAGGCTTACATTGGTCATCAAAAATATCTATTATGTCATTTATATATAAGTTGAAACATAAAGGACTGATTAAGCAGCCTTGTTTTAATCCTAATTTAGAGTGTATTGGACTTGTTAACCCGTTTTTAAGTTTTACTCTGTATATGACACTTGAGTACATGTTATCGATTATATCATATATTTTGCCTCCCATGCCTAGATTTTTTAATTTCTGCAATAAAAGTGGCCTGGGTATGCTATCATAGGCTTTTCTGAAATCTACAAAGCATGTATATAAATATTTCCCTACCGTCACGTGTTTATCAATTAGCTGTTTCAATATCAATAAGTGATCTGCAGTTCGGCTCTACTAATTTTTAAAGAACAGTGTTATTATACAGGAAAAAGATGTAATGAGATAGTATTACGTATTAAAAAAATATTATACACAGCACATATAGCAGTCCTGCAATAAGCCCCTCTGAATCCTTCCATAAATCTCTATTGCCCCAGCTTGGGTTTCCCATGTACAAGAAAAACAATAGGAGGGGTACACGACTTGTAGGTACATCATTTTCTTGTAGGCACATCAGTTTCATACTCACAAAGGTACAGTGAATGACAACCCTTTTCTAGACTATATAACATTCCCCTTATGAGACCCACATCCCCAATAATCTGTTGGGTCAAATAAGGTGGGTTCAATGACCATTTTTGTGACACTTCTACATTCTCTCAAGTGGGAATACCCTGCAATACTGTGTAAATGTCCACCTTCTGAGAAGACAAATCTGGTATAAAACAGAAAATGTGCTATATAAAAAGGATAAACTTATGATGGTCTTACAATAACTCCTTTTCCTTAGCACGTTCCATATTGGCTGTGCGTTCATCTCCCTCTTTTACAAGGATTCCTACTCTATTGTTAGCATCAGTGAGATCTCTGGACAGCTTGCCCTTCTCAGCCTTCAGTGTGTGAACACTTTCCCTGCAGAGAGACATGTTATAGTCATAGATACGGTATAGTGCAAAATGGAATAACAAAGTATTATTGAGCAGGCCTGTAGCCAGGATTTTCCAAGGGGGGTTCACTTTTTGAAAAATTCCAGGGGGGGTTCACTTGTGACAATTTTGGTTCAAAAATGGCAAATATCACTTAAAAAGTGCTCAGAATGGTGAAAACTGCATGATTTTGAAAGACTTTTTGGCCAGGGGGGTTTGCTTGAACCCATCGACCCCCCCCCCCTGGCTACGGGCCTGTTAAGTACACCAGAGATTCTTACCCTTTACATACTTATACAGAGAAGTGCAAACAAATTACATTATTTTCAAGAAAAAATGGCAGAGAAAAACCAGGGCCCCAAAATAAAAGAGGATAACAGCACAGTTTATGCCTTGTATTATGGATGTATTATAATCATTACTGAAAAACACCCACTTGAAAATTCTTAAATTCTTACTTGAGATATTTTAGTTCATTCTGGTAGGTTGCCATAGCAGCCTGATAGATGGCATTCTGTTCATCTACTTGGAGTAGCTCCTGCTCTAACACATAAGACAGTTCTTGGAGATTCACCTGAAATATTGGGCAAAATAATTCAAGCCAAATATGGGCCCCTTCTACAATGATTTATATAGATACCTATAACAACTTAATCAGGACCAATATGGGAAATACATATAGAATAATATTATTAACTTGAACTGCAATTGTACATGACAACATAACGTCATCTGGAATTTTATCCATCAGAAACTCCTTGTTCAAAATGTAGATTATTTTAGGTGGTGTTTGGATGTCTTAAAGGCCGGTTTTAAAGTTGCTAGCAACTCCCATTAAAATATCAGGTTACATCCACACTTTAACATGGCACAGAAAGTCAGAATTAGTAGGTTTAATTAACAACATTGCTTAATACTTGATTTTGATTGGCTAAGCTTGAGGACTTTTAAATTTGAAAAATGTTATTACTGTTTTTAAATGCCCTATCACAACTTAACAAAATGATGAAGTCAAAATCTAACTGCAGGATATGAATATCAAAACATTGAAAGATACACATAACAAAATTGGAAGCAATACATTTTCTCAATCAATATGAAATTAGAGAAAATTGACCAGGTTTGTGAAAATATCAAAAATACAGTTATTTTGGCTGTTCCATTAGTCTGCCTTCTATTTATACCCCATGTCCCTCTTTAAGTAAATAGGGCTCCAAAAAGGCTAAAACTAACAACCATCAATTCTTCTGCAATTCCATTTTGCAAACTATTGCAACAATGCCTCTGTTATTTCCTTACTTTTAGTGTCAAGTCAAACTCCAAGGCTTGTAGAATCTCTGCACCATTAGGAATACCAAGATTTTCCCATAAGTCGATAATTGCATCTGGTTTTGCATACCTGAAGATAAAACAATAAAATAATTACTATGTACATCTGTTGTTAGGATTAAATGTAAAATTGTATTTCGTGTACATGATAATCTCAAAAAATTCAGAAAAACAGATGAATTTTAATTAGGTATTTTTATGACTGTATAATATGAGATGCACCTAAATCCATATTCTTCTCAAATCCACCCCAGATCAACCCTTCCAATATTTGATCACCACTGCTGGAGGACTTATAATGCCCATGTCCCACTTGAAGATGTTAGTTTGTACAACTGTACTGTAAATTTATTTATATGAATAAAAAATTTTTTTATATAATTCTCATATATCCTCTTGATCCACTAAAATTTATATCCAACTGCATCACAAGTACACATGTTTTAAACAGAACACAGTCACTAACCCAGTGAGTTCTGGATCCAGGCTGGAGAATATACCAGCACCTTCCCCAACAGACAGAATAGATGGCGTCTGAGTCCTTTCATCAAGGTTCATGCTCATCTGAAGGCTGACCTTGGGCTTCCTGGTGGAGGATAGAGGGCGCACTGGAGTTGAGGGCATTGTAGGGCCGCCATGTTGGAAAAGACCATGGAGAAATTCATGGAAACTCACTTTTCCATCCTGGTCAACATCAAGCTTGTCAAATAAATGCTGGATTTCCTGGAGAGAAGAATAAATGAAAATCAAGTGAAATCAAATATGTAACACAAATGATGACTTGCCACATATGGGATCATTGCTGGTTCAATCAAAAGGTCTTGGACTCAAATCACCATAGGGTGGGGTGATTTTAGCATCAACAATTCATGATGTCTTTTTTAATAAACCTGTCAAAACTGTTAGCCGTAATACCATACTAAAACCATTTAATTCAAATTCTGATATTCAGGGACATTCATCTCCCATACTTTGTTTCTTACCTCATCTGTAGTTTCTTCCATGCCTATATGACTGCAGACTTTGGCTAACTCTGGCATAGTCAAGTAGCCATCCCTCCCAACCTTAAGCTCCCTCCACACCTGTTTCAAGTGTTCTTCCTCAGAGACAGGGTCCAGGGCATATTCCATCTGGGTCATGGACTGGTTCATCTGACCTACAAACATAAATAAGTACAACTTTAAGCTCCCTCCACACCTGTTTAAAGTGTTCTTCCTCAGAGACAGGGTCCAGGGCATATTCCATCTGGGTCATGGACTGGTTCATCTGACCTACAGGCATGTACATAAATAAGTACATACATAGAGTTCACTCTGAGTACAGGGTCAAGGGTGTACTCATTCTGGGTCATATAGACTGGTTCCGATGATATTTTTTTCATATCAGTGTCTTTAAAGTTACATTGTCGTTTAAAATAATTCATCTGACTACACATACAAGACTTGTACATGATTAGGGGTTGACGTTCTAAAGTACTCAAACAAAAAGTACATCAATCTAAATACAACTGACTCCCAGCATGTCACACTGATCTTGTATTCTGGCAATCTCATTTTGTTTACTAATGCACTTTTGCAATAAATATGAAATGTATTGGTTAAAATAGTCTCTGAAGCTATATTTAATTTCAACTCCAAAAATCAAAGTTCAATATGAATTAATAATATTTGTGTGTCACAGTTACGTATATTAATTAATGTTCAAAGCCGGAATTATTTTAACTACAACAGAGATATCATACATGGTTGTGAAGATTTTATTTTACAAGGAAAACATTACTTATACAAAATTGTAAAACATATGATTTCAAATATCAACTCTTCATCAACAATGTTTCAAATAGATATCTATAATTTCCATAAATTAGAGCTGGAAAACTGTAAATTTAACCAAAACTTCTCTGAACATAAAATATGGCTGTCTCTAATAGCAAAATGGTTTTCTGAAATTCTCACAATCTCAAATGAATACTCTTATCTTATAATATATCTGTCTATAGCATACAATTAATCAAATACATTTTAATATCATTCCGCAGTTCCACAATACAACATTATACCCGTAATTAATTCAATACCATACTAACATTATGTTTTTGAGAATTTAAAGAGAGTACTTACTGTAACAGTTACAAATCATTGTGAATCATTGTGAATTTGATTTATCTTCCTATCTGCAATCTTTGGTTTAATCTTCTTAAGTTAACACTAAAAGTTAACATAAACTACATTTCCCAAATCAAGATGAGTCAAATTGTGTTATGTTCCAAAACATTTAACCTTGCAGTATTAACAAAATGCTTAGATTCTGTTACTGTACAGAATGCCATAGGAGGCTAAATCTATGTTTTATATTAATACCAACAGGAGGGATGATAAAAAACAGAGCTGTGAAAAGAAAATGTTCCAGGTTTTAGTAGACAAATCCAGAGAATAAAATTCAGTGAGATATTAACAGAAACCAGAGGAAACGGGGGAATAAGGCTAATGTTTAACACAGAATTAATTTTTTGGGCCTTAAGCAAGAATGCTAAAGCTTGGCTTCCTGGTGCGAATGCTCAAGGTTGCCCATTCATAAAATAACCATTAGTACATCATGCTTATTCCACATTTCCCGAGCTACATTTTTTTCTTAATTTCTATAGAATTAAACGTCAACTTTTGTGATATTTATTCTTTGCATTTTGTCCTCTTTTTTTATGCAAAATACTCTAATTTTTCTCAATGTTATTCAGTATTTCATGCCCCGAGATGATGATTTATTTATAGCAAGACCTGAAGAGTTATGATTTCCTCATGATTCTGGATACACTAGTTGATTAATTCTGATTAACATGGTGATTATGCTCATGGTTATGCTCTATTATGCCTGCTGTAACCTTTTCTGCCTGATGAAACATTGAATTAATACATAAAACTGTGAAGCACTCGATCATGGGGATTAACAGTGTTATTAAAGGTTGAAGAATTATCAAGCAAAAATAACATGCAAGTTTATACTAATAACATAAAACTTTTGTATACTACATGTGTATATATGCTACGGCCAGTAGCAGATCTAGAAATTAACAAGGGGGCCCAACTTTTGAGTGTGTGAAAAAATATCTACGCTATAACGTGGAAAAAAATTTGAGCCCCTAAAATTAAAAATTTTGTAAAATTAGACCCATTTTTGATAAATTGGCCAAACAAAGGCCTAAAAGGGCCAAATTGTGCCAAAAAGGCCCATTTTAATTGAAGCCTTACAAAACAAATATATGGTAACCAAAATGCCATGCAATAATAAACTTAAATATTTCAATACTACTTCCTAAAATATCAACAACACTTGATTAAAGAACAAACTGGCCTTTTGACCTTAACCGACTTGAAACAATTGCTAGATGTGAATTCTATTATGAAGAATACCATGTGGAATTTGGAGATAAAATCATCAACTTGTCCAATTAAAGAAAAGCCTTTGACACTGACCTTCAGAAAACATAAAACAAGCAATGCAGAATGTCATTACCCGCCATTTGTTACAGACACCAACCACCAAACGCTTAACATCAACAGCCGAATAACATCCACAAAAAAAGTTGGATAACAATATGTCACCACTTGTTGTGGTACATATAAACACCATGGCCGGACATAAAGTTGTTTTATGTAGATCAAAACATAGTTTTTGTGGATAATAATGTATCAAACAATCTATACAATTACAAATATTACCATGACCTGATAACCTTGACCTACCTGAAGAAACAGCAGAACTTCTATTATGTAAATCACCATGTGGCACTCCCTGACATAAATCCTCCCAACTTTGAAGACAATATGAGCAATATCCAATCAAAGGTCTATGTAACTGTAAATTTCCAATGAGTTCACCTTTCGCTGTACTGTATGATCCAATAATTTCACTGACCGTATACTTTTTATTTGATGCTCGTTTATATCTCCCGAGAGCCATTCTTTGGCTGGAGAAACCGAGAATTACATGATGTCAAAATAATCTATGGTATGACATATGTGTTTCTATGCCATTTGACAAATCTAGCTTTAAATGAATCCCTAATTTTTCTTCAAGTCTCATACAGAGAAAGTGAACTAACATGAACAATATCAGAGAGACAACATCAAAGGATTCCTTATACGAATCCTGCATATTTTGATGTCATTATCCTTTGCTTTGTCAATTGTACCAGGCTTGTATAATATTTAGTATCATCAGTATAATCATCAGGCTTTCATGCTGTAACCATTTACATTTATCAACATTCACTTCATACATTATTGTACATCTTTTGCAGATTTAGATTTGTCTCTAATCTATCTTGAATTATTTATTATTTCCAACATTCTTCCTTTTGTCAACTTTACTTTCCCTTGTATGCAATATTTCCAAACCATCAAGTAGATTAAGGCAATAAAAGATGCAGTATCCTCCATGATGAAAAAATCTATAAAATACAACTATAAGCGATCCTAACCGATTGAAGGTTCCAGCTACCTGTCTAAATCTCCACATTATGATTAAAATTTAGCTTTTTTCTACAAATGGTTGAAAGTGTAATTCTGAGACATTTCTATAGTTTGGATGCCCTCATTAAAGTTGCCATGGTTATTTCTTACTCATAAGACCACTATATGAAAACAATAAACATATGTGTAGGATACTTTATTCACAGATAAATTCTACAACATATTGTGCTCTATAGGAATGAATGATAAATTCTGATAGATAATTGCACTTTATAGGAATAAAATGAAGAGCGATGTGAAGATTAGAAGATGCAGAGATATAGAGAACAATGAATACAATTACAATGAGCTGGATTAATACATGATAAGTAGGTGAAGTCATGAAGGAATAAAGAACATCAATGGATTTACCTGCTGTATTAACATTACAATGCATTTATCAACATGAACAGTCCAATATCTCTCTACAGAATACCTGCATAAAAATCATTTGCAAGTGGTTTCTTAATGCAAGCATTGGTACAGTAAAACCTGCCTAAGTGGAATGCCTTTGGTACCTCTAAAATATGTTCCACTTGGGAGGTGTTCTACTTAAAGAGGTTCATTTAACATTATGTCAGTTGTTGTTGGGATTTTGAAGACATGTTGAACAGAGGTGTTCCACTTTAGAGGTTTCAATGTACTCATTTATGCATTACACCTTTATGCAAATGTAGCAGTGAGCCTTACAGCATATTCAAGCAACTAGGTGTTGTACCCTGTTCAAAATTGGAAACTTAATGACATCCTATTGAAAATATATATGCATGTGTTGTGTGCAAAAAGGGGAACACAATGTTATATTTTGGCCAAAGCAGACTAAATAATAATAGAACACCTGTTAAAAAAATTTGGAGGATCATTGTAAAATTCAGGGAGTGTAAAGATTTTTCAGAATCAAAAATTAATAGTCTTTTTTTAGTTATGGGTTGGGGTAACCAATAATGTCAAGTTAACCTGTGGGTGTACGGTATGCTTATTATTCAAACATGACCGTGCTCTAATTGAATTTCTCAACCAATCAGAATGCAGCATAGCCAATATAGAACGTTCTCTAATTCTCCATAGATGCACGACCGTGCTCTATCCAATCATCCGGGAATCTACGTATTGTATTTGCATTGTGACGTCACACCTGGGAATGGCGAAAATAACAGCGAGCTCGAGTTTGGTGTATCTCATGTAGCTCCAATCCCCAATTCTCTGAACAATGTTTTCATTTTTTATATGTTTGAATCGGAATAAATAATGATAGGCCATTCAATATGGTGAAATTCAGCACTCGTTGGACAGAATGTCAGTACAAATGCACTCACCTTCGGTTCGTGCTTTGTACGACATTCTGTCCAACTCGTGCTGAATTTCACCATATTGAATGGCCTATCATTATTTATTCCTTAAATATAGAAGTAGCCAGGAAAACAAATGAAAACTATCAATGAATTCATGAGTTCATTATGGATTTATACAACTTCATCAATGAAAAAATATATTGCCTCCATTGTGACAATCTTGTATTGATTTAATGCTGAAATTTTATACAAATGCAAATTAAAAACTCTAATAATTCCTAATGGATCATTTTTTTTAAGCGCAAGATAAATACTTGTTTTTTAGTTTGTTTTTATGTTTTATCACATTTCTAGACATCACCTTACACAAGTTATCAATTTTACTCACTTAGCTTATTGTTCCAGTTTATTGAACACTATTGGAGCTTGAATACAGTTGTCATAGAAACCAAAATGAATGATTTTTCATTAACCACAACAAACACAATATTTATACCTGAACTTAAAATTTCCCCTCATTATTCTCATTTCATCAATTTGTTGTTTAAAAGATGAGAACCAGAAATTTTCTGTCTGACTTTAAGTGTATGAGCAGACATGAACATCAACTTTTCCCCAATAAATCTCTAAAATTCCTTTAGAATAGGACATTTAAACTAGTCCAATTGTTATGTTACATTTATCGGAAATTATCCATGTGTGCAATCTACCTCCCCCATAGGTATCAATTAGATTCTGCAATATAGAGAAAATAATTCCTGTGCAATAGTTCTTTCTTGACAGCGGGATATTAGAAACAAGAGAAGTAAACATGCAATTTTGTACTTTGTCATCCTAGCTTGGATCTTGAACCAATATGCATTTATTTCAATAATATATAAAAAGAAGATATCTTTATTGACTATATTGTATATGCAAGGTTTCAGGAAATAAGTTAACATGTCATTTTAATAGCAGATGTAGCACTTAGTAGGCATATAAAAACTCTAATATAATTTGAACCCTGAGACACAACTTTTGTCAAATTTTCATTGATTTCAAATCTGATCAGTTAATATTTGAAACCCTTTTTCCAGTTTCAGCAGGCTTCTAGGGAGGAATGAATTAGTTTATATGAAAAAGAAGTAAATATATATCTAGCAATCAGTGATTGACAGTGAGAAACCCCAAAAAGTGAAGTTCCTACCTTCAGCCTCAAATGTCTCTCCACGGCTGACTGGTGGAGACTTTTTACTCCCTGTTGCCGTATTGGAACTTTTTTCTCCATCTAACCTGTCACCAGAACTACTTTCATCAGCATCCAAATCCAAACTCTGAAATGTGATAAACAAAAAGAAACTGAAGAAAAAATGCAAATATTCTTAAATCACATTAAGGAACTCCTTAAAAACTAAATGAACTCAGTATCAATAGTCTGGTTTTGCAAGATACAGTTGTAACTTGTTTTTAAAGAAAAAGTATCTATCGCTTGGATCACAATACTGCATAATATTTTATAATAGACACTCATATTTCAAGCATTGGAATGCTCTGACCTGAATGATATATCCTATGGTTATACACTTCCATACATTTCATAAACAGAATTTTAGGTATAATAAAATTTTCCATGAGGTTCTTAATAAGCCATTTCCTTGCTCGAAGTTTTGTATATTCTGAACATACACCCATCATGCACCATATTTCCATGCACCTACACTATTTGACAACATGTACTAATATGTGTAAATTGTCTTCTCCTTTTTAATACCACGATGTTTCTCCATTCCATGCACCCAATGTGTTTACCCAGAATCCATGACAACATGTACTAATACATGTGTGTCTCCTCCTGTTTAATACCACGATGTTTCTCCATTCTATGCACCCAATGTGTTTACCCAGTATCCCTGACAACATGTACTAATACGTGTGTGTCTCTTCCTATTTAATACCACGATGTTTCATCATTCCATGCACCCAATCTGTTTACCCAGTACATGTGTGTCCCTTCCTGTTTAATACCATGATGTTTCTCCATTCCATGCACCCAATGTGTTTACCCAGAATCCCTGACAACATCCATTATGTAAAGTTGTTATTGAAGCTTTTTGTCAACAAAATTCAAGCAAAGGTTCAAAAAGGTAGTAAATAAAATATAAAATTGCAAATAAAAAGCATATGTGATAAAAATGTAACATTGGGTGTGGTATATGGTGTCGTTAATAAATTTGATGTGATGCTTTTGTTCGCATTTTCAAAGTGCACAGTTATATGTATATCAGTGTACTCTTATATGCAAGAAAAGCAATGCAAAATTCAAACTTCTATTAAACCCCAAAATGGGGCAAATAAATAAAATTCCCATAATGTATAGTTGAGTTCTAAATACATGACTTTTACCCTCTAATACAATGAGTATCATTTCATTTCTCATAATTTATGACCAATACTAGGTGTAAATTCTGAAGTTGTGCCAATCTTTTCAAAAACCAAAGAGATTTTTAATGGTCACTCCACTCTTTTAGGAGGTATGATGAGTACTTTTTGGATCTACTGTATATATTTAGGATGGTAAAGACATAATTTTTCAAAATGGTATTTGGAATATGCAAAAGTTTATATGGAATATACAATTGGTTTGATCAATCATTTTGAGATGTCTTGTTTCTGTATTTCACTTTTTATCTTTTTATTCAACCCTACTAGTGTAACAGCCATGCAAATATAGGGAGTCTAAATACATACTTACCCAACTAACAGATCTCACAGATATATCCTGAATAGGGGAGGGGGTGAAATGTGATAAGAATTATTTTGTGTATATGGACACTGGAGAGGGGTGTTCTACAGGGGTATTGGTGCAAACATGGACTTGTCTGTATGTCAAAGCTATAAGGGATTATTTACAGCATAGTGTAAAATTCAAAAAAATGCATTTATTTCATTTCATAAGTCATTGTATATTGGAAGAAGCTAAGTCTGAAATTTATATTCGTCTTTTTGTTATTTGCAGATACACATTCAACACATTTTAATAGGAGTAGAACTAGAATAATGTAGTGACATCTTTCATTAATGTACCAAATCAAAAACACATTACATTTCATGAACAAGTTAATTATTTCTGCTATGCTGGATAAATCAATAAAACATAATAGACCTAGATCTATACAGGTATAATAACGACATATGTTCAATGAATAATTGAATCAATACTGCAAATTGCACTGCTATAAATGTGAATCATTCTTTCTTGTAACTCAACGATTTTCTGATATATCATATGAAAGAATTATGACAGAAGCTTCTTGAATCATACAGCACTTTAAATTTCCACAACATGCTCTTAATTGGTGCAAATTACTAAGTATAAACCATTTGATCAAATCCCTGTTTCTTTAGGCAATGATTCAAGAGTTAATGTTATATAATTGATATTTCCCTACTTCATCACTATGAATAGCAGATAAGCGATCCTTCTTCCTTTTTTGAATACCAGCAGGTTTTGGTGTGTTCCTTGGTGATTGAAAACTGAAGTCAGTATCTGAGAAATCAGTTGTCAAATCAGCCTCAGTGGATTCCCCTTTAAAATCGGGTTTTGACCTCCTACCATATTTTTTATTGCCTTTCACATACTTTGGCGTCTCTAAAAAATAAAGGAATTTTGCTTGGACTTGGACAATGCAATGTAAAATAAGCAAATATCTCTCTCTACTCCCACCCCATAATGTAAGACCAAATTTATAAATGTACATCCCTATCCACTTTGGCAAAATCATGTAGGTTTTTATGAAAAAATGTATCTAGAACTTCAGGCACAAAGAAAATATGTACCTTGCTGGTTGTCCACAAAACTTGTATCTTCTTCACTGGATGACCCCAAATCATCCACTGCAGCGGACAGAACATTCACAAATCCCTCCTTAAACTCATCAAAGCTGACCTGCAATTTAAACAATGGGGGTGTAAACAGTCACACAGTGAGATCAAGGGAACCAAAGTCAACTAATGACCTTATAGCCTAATGAAAAGTTGGAAGCAAAATGTCATAGCAGATATGATAGGATCAACATTACAAAAAGGTACAAAATTATAAATAATTGCAAAATTCACAGCAAATGAGCATAAGTGTGAAGTCTCCAAAGTCTAAAGTGAAAAAATGCCAAGAAAATATTTCAGTCCAAATTAAACAAGATAAAATATGCAATAATCATGACCCAATTTTTGGAATCATTGACTTACTCTGCCACTTTCATCTGAGCCAAGGAGTCTCTGAAGCAAAGCTTTTGTTTGGTCTGCAAGCTGCAACTTCTGACAGAGCTCAGTTAGCTCTTTACGGTCTATGTATCCTGTGTTAGACTTGTCGCAGCTGTCAAACACTTCACGCAGTTGAGCCACATACACATCCTGTTCATCAAGTCCAGCCATCATTTAGATATGATTCATCTTTACCCAGATTCCTTGACCTACAGTAAGTTCAGTAACAGTATATCAGCAAAAATTAGGAATTTTAGGAAATGCTTCTTGGTTTCTACCCTCGGTATCGGTTAGTGTTCAAAATAATAAAATATTGAGATATTTTGAACAGGGGAGATCTGTTTATGTCTTAAAATATTACATTGTATATATAGTACTGATGATAGAAGGTGAATATTTTGTAAAACTAAAGTGACTATTTCCAAAAAAAACATAAAACCTAACATAAAAAAGTTCATACAATCTTGCTAAATATCTTGAACAAATACATTGTAATACTTCAAATGTATAAGTATTTAGAAACATTTCAAATTCTGAAATTATTCGTGCTCAGCTTTATCTGGCAAATTGATGACAACAAATTTTTACAGCTGCAAGTGCAATTGTCATGAACAAATAGAGCCTTTCATGTTTTTCTTTCATAACCTGGGTACATATAAATAATGAGCCTTTCACACTCCATGAGAGTCCACCATCATTGATCTTAAAAAAGAATAAATAGAGTAGTTAGAAAATGTTTGAAGAAACTCCCATTAAGAATCTATGTGATTATGCAGCGCACCCTTGGGAAGCTTTCAGCATCAGCAACTGAACTGAATGTGAATTTCAATTTCAACCATTCAATATTTGAGTCAGTTTATATTAGAAGCTGCAATGAATTGTGAATAACTGCAGAAATAACCCGTAAATCAAAGGATGTGTCCGGGTATATGCCCTTTTGGTCCCTCAGTCAAATGTATGTTAAATATGTTTTTTATTACTGTCCTAGTTATATTTGATAAGTATATTTACTTTTTCACGAGTTTTGATGCAAAATTAACCCCCTGCTGAGAGTCAGAATAAGTATCTTAACCAAAAAATAGTCATTATCATAGAATAAAAACCTCAATGGCAACATGTATGACTTACAAAGAAGAAATAACTTAAGACCCATGAAGAATTTAAAAGAAAATCATATTTTTGAAATATATTTAAGGATTAAAATTTTTTTCAAATTTTTGAATTTCCCGCCAGTTTAATTTGAAAGGGGAAAAACAAGATGGCTGCCATTTGATGTAAGAAATGTCAGAAAAAAAGTTGCTTCACTTTTAGTTTTTACAATGAGCACAGTTTTCCGGTTTAGGTTTTTTGACTGATTCTGACTCTTCATCACCAGGGTCATGTATAGAGATTATAAAATTGAAACCGGAATGTTGTGCTCAGCATGAATTTGACTGAAATATGTGTAACTTCACCAACACAATTGAAGTCTCAAAACTGGATGCTCAGTAACTTTGAGTGACTATAATCCCTTGATTACCCAGATAAACACCAATTCACTTATCCAGAAATACCATTCAATGTCTATACAAAGAAAGTAAGCAATGTTTTGGAGGATATGTTTGAAACCTTTTGTATAAATAATTCATTTAATATTTGCCATTGATTTTTTTTCAATTCTGACAAAGTGATATGCACTGTCTTTGATGCCAATATTCTTCATTAATTGTGATACAAATTGATATTTTTGTACTCTCAGAAGAAGGATAAAATATTGAAGTTTAATAATATGTGTGATTGAGTTGGTTTTTCAGACATTACAATTTTCAATATTTTCTAAGTCGATACCCAGACTCATTCCCAGACTCATCCTTTACCAAACATGAGTTTCTTCAACTCCACAAGACTACCAGTATGCATGATGCATTTGTCAGGAGTTCAATTCACATTTCACTAAAATGAAGTATGGGTAATCTCCGCCAGGTTTGTTTATTGTAGTAAGATTGTTTTGGAAAGTGCTCGGTTAATCTTATTCCACACAATTGGTTTCACAGAATGCAGAATTAACAGGTAAAATCACTTCGAGATTTAAGATATTATTTGCCCAAACAAGCAAATGTTTTGCTTCCTTATAAAGTCTCAGGGGTATAGAAGCAAATCCATTTTTGAAGGAGCACTCTATTGAGTTTGAAAACCCACCGCTTATAATATTATGGCTTGCACTGTAGTGAACAGAACAACTGGGACACATCATTATAACAGAGAACGATCAGAACAGTGAAATATTCTGGATTATCCCACCCTAAGTGCTTTATATGATTGTATAATAGCATTGTATAACTGCAATATAAAACCAACACTCATCGTATACAACTCTTGAGAACGATATTCAACTCCTGGATAGCCTATACAACTCCTGGGCAGCGTATACAACTCTTCGACTTGATATACAACTGCTGTATTTAGATTAACCTTTTATTGATTAAAGATTAGGGTGGGATAATAAGATCATATAATGGTTGATTCTGTTTATCGTTATACTCTCGTGAGTATATGATATATTCACTCGCTCCCTTCAGTCACTCGTGAATATATCATATACTCACTTGAGTATAAACACGATAGGCCTATACGGAATCAACCATTATATAACCTCATATTATTTCTTGCAGATGGATATGCTTTGTAGTGGTAAATTTTGGGACTCCATCCATATAAGAGACTTAGGACTGAGATTTGATGAGTTCTAATTAGCACTTTGCAATTCAACAAATTCAGCATACATCTCAATGGAACCAAAAGTAAGTTCTTCCTAAAGTTTTCAATGAATTTTATTTTTGAACCAAGAAAAAAAATGTAAATTTTCTGATGAAAGAATGCTTTCAATTTTCAGCGTTCTTTACTTAATAATATATTCTTTTGCTCAAAAATATATCTATCTATCACATTAATGTATGCACTAACCTTACGATCACCAAGGAACCTCCTCAGACGTCAAAATAATCACATTTGTAAAACATTTGGATTTGGATTTATACAGTTGCTATTCCGTTGAATTTGCGAACGATCGGTCTTTTATCATTTCAGAGATTTGTGTCATTAAAAAGGCGAACGTGTCTCACTGTACGGCTAATATACTGTAGCCTATTAGCTGTAAACTACAGCTGTCGAGCACATAGAATCAATGCACGCACAGGTGAATTGTTACACCATATTATTGACATAGGTCTTCTGAGCTGCTGATGACACAATCTGATCTTCAGTCACGCATCATCAGTAGAGACGTTTTCAAAACGGCGGCGGTTATGCGGTGTCAGAGTAAATATGTCCGGGGGACCATAGGTGTCCTAGGGTGTGTGGTCTTAACCGGACCATATTTTCTGTATTGGTAAACATTATAAAGCCAGGACTATATATACTGACGGACTACAAAAATGAATCATTGTACTTGACAATGGATTCTCGATCGTCACTGAATATTTTCAATATTTCCACGATTGGTCCACGATTGTAAGGTTTGAAGTAAGATCTAGCGATTTGGCTTCATGGTGAAATGCGTTATTGTTTAAGGACAAGATAGATTAGATATGAAAACCTTTTGATCAGCCTTCGTCACATACATGTAATCACTACGGGCAAATTATTGATATGACGCGCCAATTTCGTTTTATGCTTTTCACTCTAAAACCTACCGCTAGGTGTTCACGCGCTCCCGGTCTATACTTCTTGTAAAACCCGCTTTCTTGGTGAGCAGAATAGAATTGCTTAAAATTAACAGATTTTTCTGATTTTTTCAATGGTGGTACTAGGGGGTCTCTACTGCATGTTTATCTAAATTATAAGTTGCTATGGTGTCAAATGTTTTCGTCATCTTTCTGTAAATAACCTTGAAAACATCGTGAGTGCAAAATTGTTGCGTCAAACAGACATGTTTAGGTTGGTCGCAGGAGAAGCCGTTTTACACCACTGTTCTTGGACGGATTCCGAAAATAATTTCACGACAGTAATCATTATGAATGTAAGTATTAAAGTAATTAAATTCACATCCATACTATGAGTGTAAGTTATGTTTTCTTATGTCTAAATATCGAGGAATGAACTGCGCTGGCAGTCAGAAATAAACATTTGATGATTGAACCGTTCAGTGTATAGCGTAAACTTTAGACGGACAATTCAATAACTTAATGTGAATGGATTTTTAAATAGATTTCAGATTCATGATCATATTAATATGTAGATTAGAGGGTCTTTATTTTATACGTAAAGGCTAGAGTACCGACAATTGTCGGTACTCTAGACTGTGATGTGGTGGCACGCTAGAGGACCGACAAATAAATTGTCGGTACGGGAGATATGCTGTGTTTACACGCTAGAGGACCGACAAATATTGATTTTCGAATTTTCTGGCGCATGCGCAATGCGCAGGGGGATATTTCAGATATCATACGGATATTTTGGGAACAAGTGCAAAACCCGGGGAGGGCATTAGCCCCGGTTACCCGGGGATTACCAAACCCAGTCAAAAAATGGTAGCCCGGGAACAGGGAATGGTAGTAAACGTTGAAAGGCCCAATAAAAAACATGAACAAGTAAGACGTTAGAGAGCTATTAATGCAGAGTAAACGGATATATATATTCTAAACAGACAGGATATTTCTCCTGAGCCGATCAGGCTAAGAAAGGGGCGTTTGCTACCCATTAGATAGAAGAAAATAGCTAGAATGTTTTTTATTTGAAGCTTATGGTATGAGGTTCCATATCCATTCGCCAAAAGGTATGACCCCTATATAGTCCATTTAAAAACCTGTGGTATCGTTCTAAATAACTCATAGTTGGCTTCTAGGGTACCTAGTATGCCACTATTTGGTATCAAAATAAAGAGGAGTTCAACTTTCATTTGAATTACGAAAATAGCGATGTAGGTCAAAATAGTTCCGAACGTGAGCATGTTTACTACGCGTTTGGCCGTCATATCAGAATTGAGGAAGTGGTAGCAAACGCGAGTTACAATAAACGGACGCTGATATCTCAAAAAGTTACCTGACTCCCTATAATTTGATGTAGGTCAATCGAACCCCTATATGGACAGGTGCATTTTGATATATAACACTATGGGGGGTAAGCGTTTCATAGTTGGTCACGAACGCCATATGTGCAAAGTATTGTTATGAATTTTCGAATTTGGTGTTGGATTACGGTACTCATACCTTATAGCACAATTTTTGATGGAAGTTGCATTTGGCTCCCTTAGTTAATGGCCACGATTCCATCTCGCATGAGAGAGCTACCAAACGCAAAGTAAACAGTAATGTATTCCAAATGAGATATTTCTCCTGTGCCATGGCGTAGTAAGGGTAGAGAGCGACGGGGTCGAAAGCATCCCCTCCCCTAACTGTATATATCGACCCATTAGATAGAACAAGAAAAGAGCTTTAAAATGTTTTTTAATTGAAGCTTGTAGGACAATTTTGATGGAAGTTGAATCAATTTTTGTCGAAATAAATTATGGCTCACTACAAGTTAATGCCTGTACGATTCCATACTGCAAAAGAAGCACTATGCCCCCCCCCTCAAAAGAAAAAGAAAAGTTGTCTTGCCGGGATTCGAACTCGGGACCGAGTGTGTTCGAGTCGTTCTCGCTTACCACTAGGCTACCAGAGATGAGGTTATTTCTAAAAGTAAAAGTAGTGGATTTATTTATGAAATTGTCGGCTCTCTAGCAAAAACACGTAGCAGCCACTTGCGTACCGACAATTGTCGGTTCTCTATCTGGCACTACTAGTTGACGATAGAGTGCCGACAATTGTCGGTACCCCAGCAAATACCCCTGGACAGTCTCCAGTACCGACAATTGTCGGTCCTGGAGCCACTCCGTATTTTATAATTCTATGATCTAAATGTACTGAGTAGTGGGTGCATCAACATTACGCATTGGCAACGCTTTTCTCAAGTGAAATCAGACGAAGCTCACGCGTAAATATTGACCAACGTTTGTGTTTACACAGTCGTATTTCAAAAGTAAAGCATTATTTTAAAAATCTAAAACGATACGATTGCGATTTAGAGTTTCTAGTTTTTGAATATGTGAATTTAAATTAATTTTATTTATAAATGAAAAAAATGAACCAAGGGTGAAAGTATGACTATCCATAGACGTCCTTGGACTATCAAATCGTTCGTTTTAATGACTTGACCAAATGTAGCAAAATGTAGCAAACTGGGAAGTACATTATAAACATACGACTTTTACACACGCACGGACGTATAAGAGCCAGATAAGTACAGCTGTGCACGTTCTCCAAATAAAAGGTCTCAATCTTTCTCCATTGACGGTAACATAATAATTCTGCACCTGGAGATGCAACATTTCGTCCAGTGCGATCGTGATCAGCGCACCTAGCGGATGGCGCGTCATATCAATAATTTGCCCGTAGTGAATCATGGGTCGCCAATGGTCACAGCAGCCCCAAAATGCCATAAAACAGAAAAATACCTCTTTATTGACCTTTGACCATGGACTGATCTTGACCCATGAAATTGACCTTGACACAGCAGCCCCCAAATCCCTAAAGATGGCAGATACCTATGTAGATAGTGCCCTTTGACCTAGTGGAGAGAGACCTTGACCCATTGACCCAATTAGCATACGTGGCCAAGTATGATGACCCAAAGTTGAACGGTGTAGGAGGAAAATGAAGTAAATGAATAAATCACCGTCGCCCGTCTCTCTGTCTGTTAGCAACTCCTCTACACCGGTCAGGCTAAATGAATGAATCTGATCCCCCTGTCCATTAGTGTTATTAAAAATACGTTGTCTACATTAGGGTTAACTGTGAATTCCGATATGTAAGTTCAATGCATATGGGACAACGTACATCGAGATGACAACGTAGACTTGTGATTTTTTCATTATTTTAGCCAAAACGTGAGTATTTATTAAATCTTCAACCAACCTTAATTGTGTAACTTAGCGAAACATTTTCTCATAAAAGTAATCGACACTCTAAGGCGACACAGGGGAAAAATGATCAAAGGAAATTTCCAACCGATCATTGATGGTGGGTAGATTTACTACGACAAAAATCGAGCACTGCTCAAAAATCTTTTAACGTAATCAGAAAGCTAACAGTCTTCCAAATCGAATACACACGAAATCAAACATGAAATTCTTTAAATATTCCTCAGATTAAATTTTAAAACCTACATCGCACCTGCATCATAGTTTTTGCTTCATATCAGTTAGAATAGTGATAGTACATCGAAAGTGTTCAGCAGTATATTTTGTCACTGTACCTTGTCGATGGTTACGTGTTCCTGTCCCATGATTATTGTGTTATCTATAAAATAACAGCTAGTGATATTTCTGTTGAAGATCCGCTCGGTACTTTTCAGAAAACCGTTCTTCATTCGCATGTGTTATAAACCTTTTGATTTTTTTCATGTTGGATTGTAACCATGATATAAATAAAACCCATCATCAGATCACTCGTGATACCCCCGGTGATACCATTTCATCGCCTAGCTCACTCGTGTTGATATTTGATTTCAACTTGTCTATAAAATGATCCAGTGACATATAAAATGATCTGACATTCTGTGCCATGGTCTGAGCAATATCAGGTATGTAACAGGAATTAGCGGGATGATATCGGGTCAAATGTGCTAATCAAAAATCATTTCAACTCAACTCAAAAATTGTTGGCAAGTTGTCTTTTGCATTGCTCATTATACACATTAATATATCAAACAATTGATACAAATAGGGAAACTTGAATTTTTTTGATTTGAGTGCAATTGTTTTTGTTCCTTTTTACCAATTCTTGAGATTGAAATAAAATATCTTTCCGAAATTTGTTGGAACAAAATAGCACTATGGCGGATCCGGGGGGGGGCCCATGGGGCCCGGGCCCCCCCCCCCTAAGGTTGGCCCAAAAAAAAAAGAAGTTGGGCCCAAAAATATTTTAGGCCAAAAAAGGCCTTAAGGCCCCAAAAAGTGGGCCTTTTGGTCATTATTGGGCCTTCTAAGGCCTTATTTTTTCAATTTAGGCCAAATTTGGAAGAAAATGGGCCTCAAATTTTCAAAATTTGGGCCCACTTTTTCGGTTTTAGGGTTTTAGGTTTTTTCAATATTCTCAAATTTGGGCCCCCCCCCTTGTTGGTTCCTGGATCCGCCACTGTAGCATATACATTTTCTTAGACCTCTCAATATTATAGTTATACAAAGGAAATTTTGGTTGATTTAACAAAAAGTATTCAAAAAATTAAAACAAAAAACCCAAAATAGCGTCTGATGTGTTTTCTAAAACAATATGGATAAAAGTATATAGTAGCCCGGACAGAATTGTTCAATGGTCACTTTTTCTTTAATAACTTTTTTAACTTTCAGTATTATCAGAGTCTGATCACATATTTGAAAACTAGAGTAAAATGCTGACATACAAAAAAAATATTTAAGGAGCATCTCTTAATTAATTGATATTATAGGCATTCATAGAATGACTGATGAAATACATAATTCATCATTTTGCCTCATATTTGTTCAAAATGGCGGCATATTTTGGGAATTTGAATGTTCAGTTGAAAGTTAATATTTAAAGATTGTCATATGACTATAGGGCCATGCTGCCACCGTTACAATCCTTATGTAATGCAGCAACTGACCAGTCATCAAATACAAGAAGTCAAACCCCTCCAAGGGTATATGAAATCAACTCTATTGAAATGTTTGGGGTTGTGTTCAAGAGGATGCGAAAAGGTGGCACCTTAATGCGCGGGATGTGATGAGAGTAGGTCCTTAATCTTTTCAAAAGCTCTAAGCTTAACAACCATCTCAGAGGCCATTGAAAAGCTGAAGAACAATTCACATGCATGCCCATGATGGGTAAAGAGGCGTGTGACTGGGAAAGATATTACAAACTGTGGCAGTATGACCCTATAGTTACACGGGTTCAACGAACTAGGGTTGCTAATCCACTGCGAGTTACAATGGAATGGCCAAAAAACTTTAAGTGCTGCGACCGTTCCAATATACTGTTATGTACAAACCTTTTTATGTACTGGTATACATACAAGTCAATTTTAAAAAAAGGTTATAAATGCAGTCATTACCTCATACCAAGACAGCGGTCTACATGATTTTGTAGGCCTATGACATTTCTTAAATATTAACTTTAATTTTAACTGAACATTCAAACCACAAAACATGCCGCCGTTTTTTAACAAATATGAGACAAAATGGTGAATTATGTATTTGCGTCACTCATACTATGAACGCCTATAATATCAATAAATTAAGAGATGTTCCTTAAATATTTTTTTTGTATGTCAGAATTTTACTCTAGTTTTTAAATATGTAATCAGATTTTGATAATACTGAAAATTAAAAAAGTTATTGAAGAAAAAGTGACCATTGAACAATTCTGTCCGGGCTACTATATTTATTTCAAATTATATTGTTACCATTCAAAAGATGACGATTAAATTGACGATGTGTAAACTTTTCAGAATTTTTTGATGACTGGTTTAATAGAAACTTATGTTCAAAAAGTTTACCATATCGTATACCCGTCCCATCCTTTGTTAAGTAATGGGATCGATGGAATGGTGTCGATGTCGATTGCTTGTAGTTTATTTGTTCTTTTCAGTTTCGAATAAATAAACGTAAACTCATACATAACTTTTAACAAGTGATTATTATGATTTTAAGTCTCCCATAGGTCGACACCGGCCGGGCCGAAGATTTTAACTGATATTGCATTATTGTACTATTTTATATATGGCGTGAGACGTTAATAAATATTTATACATACATTATACATACATATAAAACGAAAAACAATTTTAAACTTTGAAATTAATGTATTTCTTGTTCTGCATATTCTCCATAAGAGAAACTCAAATGCAATATAATACAAAACAAAACAGCAAACCGTATGTACAATGTAAAAGTAATGGTAAATAGGTATATCAGTGTCAATATATAGGGACAAAAATTATGACACTTTAAAGAAACGCTATTTGTCCCTTTCATAACATATATAAATAGTCCAGTCTCGATACTGATGTCAAACTCAATCAAATGATCGAAATCGTGACCAAAGGTTTTATTCGTCGATGGTCTCATCTAAACTTGCGGGAATAATTCCTTCCGTAAAAGCAATTGCGAGTAATTCTTCTGGTGTTTCTGTTTTAGGGTACTCGTTAGCAGCCCATATCAGATATACGAGAAATTCATTCCAGTCGATCATTCCGTCAGCATCCATATCCAAAGCCTTTAAAACTTTTCTTGAATCCTCAGCTCGGTAGGAAGAAAAATATTGAGCCAGAAAGCCGTGGTAGAACGAATCAAATTGTAGCATTTCATCACCCACTTCTTCTTCACGACTGTCCAATTCATCCCAAATTTTACGGATTTCCCCAATAAGGTATTTTACATGTGGTCCTATCTCGTTACCAGTCGTTATCTGGTCACGCATTGCCTCCGTTAGAGACCCGCCCGCTCGATCAAATAAGACAGCCAATCCAAACTTGCTCATGTACTCTAATCTCCTGAAACAAATGTTCAATAAAAAATAAATGAAAGGCCCAGGTATTTGATGCTTTTATAATAATTTACATACATGCATACATATAAGTTGCGACCTTTAAGCTATGGTTACAAATTGACTGATGTGTTGGAGGGCTAGATTACTGACTTTTTTAAAAATGAGAAAACATCTTCAAACGATGTCGAGCTTACTTGCTTGATCGAAGATCTTCAAGGATAATTTCTTTCATGCGACCAGTTATCTCCAAATTGAACTGAGGATCTTCACCAAACAGGCGGATTAATCTGGTCCGAATCATCTCAGCAGACGACATTGTTGTGATTCGGACAGGAGCGTCTACGCCAAAGAAATCAGCCAGATGAAATTCATCTTTGTTCAGATTAAAGACATAATCAAGAGCTCTCCGACCAAATACGGGTTGCTTGTCATGCGGGAGTTTCCCTGTGGAGATCTTCGTCACTTCTATTGCTGCTTTACGTAGATGCTGACAGTTGTATTGCTTTAACACCTTTTTGTTGCCCAGACGAATCATATTCAAAAGAGTGACACAAGAGGACGCTTGACCCATAGACGCTCCTTCTCCACATACGCTTGCCCAAATTCCATCGCATCCACCCATGAGGCACTATAATATAGGAAAATAATATATCATAAACATAGACGATTGGATCTTGAAAATCTTGGAGATTTGATGTTCTTTTCATTATCGTTTCTTGTATACTCCTCTCTTCTTAACTTTAGTACTACAGTAACAAAATTATATCTTTAAACTGCATTTCCTGTGGAACAAATACAAGTGCTTGAATCCCATTGACATTGTCTAAATAAAGAATAAATTAATCTGGAAACCCTATTCGACGAGACTAATCTTACCTCGAGAGCTGTAGCATCACAATAGCCATACTTCTCGTGCACGTGTACAAGGAGACGTCCCTTATAATCGAAATCATTCATGATCTTACGAATGGTCCTCGCCCATTGCCCACACTCCTCTGGCATAGACTTCCCCGGTTCTTCAAACGCGAGACCAAATGGGCGTTTTTCAGCGGGCATCTTTGAAATGGATTTAACAAACTTACATACTCGCCAAGGATGCTTCCCCATCACTTCTTCTATATCCCGAATGTTGATTAAAATCTTTGCGTTTGGATGCAGATTATCGTAACACCAGTTAATCCACTTTTTGGTTAGTCGACACATTTCCTTCATGGAAAAACGTTCGTAGTCGTATGTAGAGTCACCAAGATCCAGTTCAAAGAATACATTGCGTACCCCGGCTTCTTTTATTTTCCTCAGCCCAATGGGAACCTTTTCTGTTTCAGGAGTGCGATCCTTCTTTGCCCCTGGTAATTGAAAAAGAACAATTGATAACAATGTGATCATTTTTAAGGGGAAATGGAGTGAAATAACGGATAATAAGCCATATATTTGTTCTTACCCTCAGTAACCTCTGAGAAAGCCCAAAGATAATCGGGATCTTCGCCTTCATCTATGAGCATCTTCATCCATTCGTCATCTACTCGTGTCATGTGTGAAAACGAGGCTATGATAGTATGTTTGAAACCACATTTCTTTACTTCTTCCAAGATGGCGCGTTTGTTTTCAATCGAATGCCCTCTCAGTTGTCCAACAGTACTCTCTCGCATAGAGTTGTCCAGAACGAAGATATCCATATCTTTAAGGGCGTCGTACTTTTTGAGGTCTTCATTCACTGCATTTTTGTAACCATCGACATAATGTTTCACGCCTTTCATCGTTGCCATTGTGGTTCTTGAAATGAGGTACAAATATACATTAATATTTTATCAAACTGTAATACAAGCTAAATGATATCTCGAAGCTCTGGATGAGCTATTATACAAAATATGACATAAACATCGTTTTGATCGCAATAGCAACATGTAACGTTTGTTCAATATTATCAAAAGGGCTTTCTACACCGGGTTTCTTCAACCTTTCTTGAGTACATTTTCGAGACCGTTCCATACAAATTCAGAGTTCAAAAATTGTTTTAAAGTATTGTTTTTCTGAGTATATATAGTAGTCCTAAGGATTAATATTCTGTACTATCATAGCCTTACCTTACGTAAATATTGTATAACTGTCCGCTCCAAGAGTGAATGTGAATATGATTCCCAATCTGACATCCAGGACATTTTAAGTCTGAATTTAATAATTAAATCTATAAGTATGCTGGGTGCTGCAGATGAAATAATCACATTAGCTTGTTATTGAAGCGGGTGTGTGTCATTTATCAAAATCATCATTGTCCCTTTTTTAAAATGACGATATACTATATAAAGGTGAAAACTAAATAAACAAATCAAAAAACACAGTCCTATGATTAATGAATAAGCATCACATAACTTCAAAAACTCCTACAGCCGAACACAAGACGTACCTTACATCCTGTGCCATACACGGTGTAATAAAGGGATTTCCGAACAACATGAATGAGGCTCAAACTATTAACGAGGCTCATAATATTTATGAGGCTCAATGCAATGTTTATATCTAAAAGTATGTTGGGTAACTGATGAAATAATTCGATCAGCTTGATGCGGGCATAGGTCAAATGCAACTTGTGATATAAATGAGGGCGGATAAACTGGTAAATGAAAGAATGTCCAGAACATGGGAGACTCAATACAATTCGAACCCGATTGAGAAAGATTTGTTCATCGTAGGAATCGTAAAAAGGACCTAGGTCTTGGATCTTCATATGGGTTTGATCAAAGCCCATGGTTTGATGTAGCCGATAATCATGAAATTAATTTGAACGTGATCAATAAATTAATAGTAACCTTACTTCTCAAAATATATTTGATGACATGTGATGATTCATGAAACTTTGTAGAAGTATAGTAATAGAGTACGGACAAATATCTGATATAATTCAATCAAATTCACCCATACTCATAGATAGGCAAGGTGTGTCCGATTCCAGCGAATCCAAACACAGTATTCCATATAAGTGCACTGCATTATACAGTTATATAACCAACAAATCACCCAATCGTCCCAATGCCATTTGTTGAATGGTTGTCAAGGTGAAAAATAGACTAGAGAATGGTTGTCAAGGTGAAAAATAGACTCTAAAGATTGAAATTGATACTTTGCCAACTTCACTCCCGGTGGTCGGGGGATGCAGCAATTTCTTCAAGAAAATTGAACAAATCTGGAAGGTTTATTTTTTTATGTGAAAGTTTACGATTGAATCACCCAATGAATAGGCGCACGGTATGTAAAATATTCATCATTCAAAGATGAACCGTTATAAAAGTAGAACCCTAGACACTTGTCCCCATTTAACCACTGTCACATATAGAACTACAGTTAGATGAAGAATCATTGTCACATCAACACACTAAAATAAACATAGATTGGCTGAAAAGATATCATGATGAAACATTTAATTTGACACGTTTATTGAAATTAACAACTAAAGACATCATTTAATTGAACAAGAAATATTTGATTATTTCCCATACTTTAAAAATGCAGTTCGAATTCTCAGTGTACACAGTATTAATGAGAACAAAAAACATCAAAATGTTACTTTTTCAAAAGTACAATTTATTTTCATAAATCTCTAAGGAGTATATATCTGTACATAGCTAACTAAAACACTGAACTTTTTTCAGTAAAATAGCACATGGAATGGAGATGGATTGTCACATTAAACTCTTATATTGACTTTTCAGGTGATCTAGAGTCAAGAACATGACTTTCTATGCTGTTTTACATACTCCTTGAAGCTGCATGTTTTCATCAGTAGTTCAAGGGCACATTTCTGTACTATAGTCAGCAGAAAAATTATATTTTTGGTATTAAAGATGCATCATCACTGATTGCAGCCATATACAGGGTGTCCACAGGTCTCTTAAAATTACAATACAAAGTCTGTAAAGTATAGACACTTTATGGACACCCAGTATTTTAAAGGGCACTATGTTTCTATTATGGGAATGAGACCTCCCATTCACATTATGAGACCATTTACTAAAATCTGACATTGAGTACTTCCATTTCCACCAATCAAACACTGTTACGGGCCCTGTAGTCTGTATAATCATCTAACAATACTGGCTTCATACATTTTGTTATAATTATAGTATTATAAAATCAAGATATCGCTGAAACAGTTCACATGCGAAGAATACCATTGGGTGTGGAAAGACACCTCTGAATGTTAAAATAAAAATTATATATATCAATTATATACTAGTATAAATATCATAAACATAATGTAGAGATTAATTGTCTCTCTATTTATAGATGGCACCTTGTGCCTATAAAAATTATGAATCTGGATTTATAAAATTTTTAAATTGCAGCAGCACAGAACGAATAATAATCAGTTCATTTGAACCATTCTTTTTTCAACTATACACTATTAATTTGAACAGCACTGTTCTGAACTATTCGAGATTGGTCCATGTACAAGTCAATGTTGTAACAGTATACATACAGCATCTGTGTATTTCTATTTGAATGAATTAACAATGATTGTCAAAACACTGGCAAGGGGTTGTTTCAGTTTTTAATTAAGAAATAAATCATTTGTAACCATGGATACTGTGACAGCATAGAGAACAACAGACTTATGAATTCAGAAAGAAAACTTTCAGAAATGCAACCTTGAATAATATGTCCTGATCTTTGCCTTAATGAAATGCGACAATTTATGGGACATTAAAAATAAACAACTTTTACTTCTGTATTAATGTCTCTAAGATAATAAAACTTTAAATATATCATACAGCAATCTGTATCCATTGTTGACTGGTAAACAATGCCTTCCCAAGAGCTAGCTCTTAACAAGTCTACTTAGATCTCATACCCTATAACAGTGTAATAAAGCTCATCATACTTCTTTTCCCAAGTTCACTGTTCAATATGCCGGCATAAAGTATGTCTTAGCTCGCCTTGGGATGGTTGCAGCCTCAGCAAGTGCCCTGCTATATTCACCACCATCATGTCCTGCGAAGCTCTTCCTGTATTCAGTATCCCAACACGAGGTATGTCTTTGCATTCTCTCGTTGAATAATTTCTTCTCATTGAACAAAGCTTGCTTTCGCTTTTCCCTATATGGAGCATTATCTAACTCAGTCTTCTGACGTTCTACTTCCATTTCTCTGCGCTTTTGTGCTCTAAGAGCTGCTGGGTAGACCTGAAATAATGTCACATGATGTTTACTATTCTAACAAAGACAAGTCTCATTTTGGAGAACAGTCTACTGGGCTAATAGTTTTTCTATGAAAAATATAGAAACCAGCACAACGGCAACGCCAAAGCGTAGCGAATCCCATCGAACAACCATGGATGGCATTTTTACAAACAAAGTATATAGCAAAAATGGCAGCCATTTTACAAAATGGTCGCCTTCTACCAAAAGTGTCATTAGACCATGTGCCATGCTTATAGTATTCACATACCAAAAATGAACAAAATCCCTCCACTACTTTTCAAGTTATAGTAAAATACGGTAAAATGGCGGCCATTTTTCAAAATGGCCACCTTCTACCAAAAGTGCCATTAGACAGTGTACCATGCTTATAGTATTTACATACCAAATATAAACAAAATCGCTGCACTACTTTTCGAGTTATAGTAAAATACGTCAAAATGGTGGCCATTTTGAAAAATGACCGCCTTCTACCAAAAGTGTCATTAGACAGTGTGCCATGCTTACAGTATTCACATACCAAATATGAACAAAATCGCTTCACTACTTTTCGAGTTATAGTAAAAATACGTTAAAATGGTGGCCATTTTTCAAATTTTTTTTCAAAATGGCCGCCTTCTACCAAAAGTGTCATAGGACAGTGTGTCATGCTTATAGTATTCACATACCAAATATGAACAAAATCGCTCCACTACTTTTCGAGTTATAGTAAAAAACGTTAAAATGGTGGCCATTTTGAAAAATGGCCGCCTTCTACCAAAAGTGTCATTAGACAGTGTGCCATGCTTATAGTATTCACATACCAAATATGAACAAAATCGCTTCACTACTTTTCGAGTTATAGTAAAATATGTTAAAATAGTGGCCATTTTTCAAAATGGCCGCCATTTTTCAAAATGGCCGCCTTCTACCAAAAGTGTCATTAGACCATGTGCCATGCTTATAATATTCACATACCAAATATGAACAAAATAGCTCCACTACTTTTCGAGTTACAGCAAAAATCGTAAAATAACGAGTAAAGGCCGCCATTTTTCAAGATGGCTGCCATGTGCTTCTTTAATATCTAAATTTCTAGCTTTATTAATGTCCTATATAATTTTTTTACATCTAAAACATATTGCTATTACAGTTTTACATATTGCACCTAAATTACTGTAAATTCGGCACTAAAATGGCCGCCATTTTGAAATGAGCGGCCATTTTGAAAATCAGCTTTTGAGCAGAACTTCTACCCCCATAGGGTATATGTGTACAAAATATGAACAAAATCGGGCCAACGGTATTTGAGTTATTGGCCGGACGGACAGACGGACGTACGTACGGACGTACGTACGGACGGACGGACGGACGGACAGACGGAGGCGTTCCCTATATCCCTCCGAACTTCGTTCGATGGGATAATAACAACAAATTAAATTATGACTATTCAAAAGAGGACATCATGACATCATGAATGATTGACAACCTGGAAAGACAGGTGTTATATGGGGTCCAGGAAACTGGGCATGTAAGACATGGCTGCAATGCTAAAACTAAAATATAGAAATAACACCGAAATTAAATTATGGCTTTCGAGGTCTCACTGTTCTATCAAAAACCACTTTTTGAAATTTAAAAAAAAAGTTTCACATATCACACTTTGATAACATTGGGTAAGACTACAATATAATCCAAAGTGGTTTAAACTTTATATGGGGCCTTTAAGAACATACTATTTTCATGTACATTATGTGGGGGAACTGGGGGATTTTGTCAATAACGTATTCAAGATTTCTCAAATGTCAATTAAATCAATTTCATTTCAATTCTTTATTTCTTTTCAAATTTTAGCCGGAATTTTTCCTTTGGGTGGTACTTACATGGTGGGAAGCTCTAACATTATGAGTCTTCTGCGCTCCAGTTGACCTCTCTGCACCATTCATACCATAAGCAATAAACGGAGGTGGTTTCTCAACAGGAGGTTTCTTAGGGGATCTCCCTAGTGGTGCAGACATGGACCTTGGCTTTGGCAGGGGTTTGACTGGCTTCCGAGGCCTCACTGTTCTAGTCTTAGAGAAATCATCTGGACCTAAATGTATTCATTAATCATTATATGAAGTGCTTAAAATTTAAAACATGTTTCATCATTTAAATACTGTATTTTTGAATTGGAAAATAGTTGATCAAAGCATTTGTTTATTAAGATTAAGAGGAATGCTACATAAGGGCAGGTGAGATTAGCCTTGAGTCTAGCCATTTTCACCCTCAAATTTAATTTTGATTCTAACATGTTCCTCAGAACTACTTAAATTGTAAATACAATATGCTTTTCATTTTTGGGTTCAAATGAACTTGCATACTAATGACATCCACAATCAGGTAAGAAGGTGAGTTCCAAAGTTCCCCTAACCTCTTGAATCCAAGGCTCTAAAATCAGTTGAAACCAGAGAATTTTTCATTCTTGCTGCCTTTTGACATTTTACTACATACCAATACAACTTGAGATGCTCAACTTAGTAAAATTAGACGGCAGAGATCATTTCTAAATATCTTAAAACAATTCTGTGTTAATTGGATGAAAATTGTTCAAATAAGAGCAATATAAGTGAATTTTTTTGTGACGGATTTTCTCGTCACTCTGGGTTTGAAGGTCATTTCTGAGGTGACGAGAAATCTCGTCACTCCAGGTAGTCAAGAGGTTAATTTGGCTTAAACCATGTTCAGGTACTTACTAGCCATGATAGCTGCATCTCTGACACTTTTACCAATATTGTTGTTGTTTTCATTGTAATTTGACTTTGCCCTTTGTTTCCTTTTCCAATCTGGGGTCTGGGATTGTCTATCCTGATGTTGGGGAACTGGGAGGACCTCATCAATATGTATTTGATGTTGTTGTTCCTTACGCCTTCTTCTCTCATGTTCTTTTACCAATTGACGATGCTTTATTATGTGTGCAGGTATTTTCTCGGGACCAGCCGAGAAGTTTCTGTCACTGACACTACTCAATGATTCTGACTCACTATCATGATCATCCCACAGAAAATGGTCACCTTCATGCCAGTGTTCGACTTGGCGTCGATATTCTCTATAGTTGTTATTGTGCTCATATAATTGTGACACAATTCCATTTCCTGCTCTTTTGAACTCTTGCTTATATTGCGTCTTCTTGTGAACCATCCTGACTGAAAAAGAAATCAACAAGCCAAATGGTAGCTGTGCATAAGGTCAGGTTATTAACAAAATGAGTCTCAAATAATCATGTCGGATTGTCAACTCAAGTCAATAATCGGGACTTGATAAACACTGACTGAATGAATTTGAAAATCTGAAATTTCACTGACTTCCTTAGTGGCTGCTGTCTAAGTTCATCCAATTCCAGGACTTATAGTCCTGTACTCCAATGATTGTTCAGGCAGTGTTTCTACAACAACACTTGCACACTTATAATACCTACCTCGATACATTCCTAATAGTTTATTTAAGGATTCTTTTTATGAAGTTGAATCACCAATTGTATGGATTTATCTATAGGGAGAACAAAGAGATTTTTGTTTTACATCGGAAATGTCCCAGCACTTTTCAAGATGTCGGAAGGGGAACCCCCTTGTAGTAGTATACCATAGTCTATATGGAGGAATTTTGTGATTACAGTCTAAAAATAAATAGAGTGTTCCTCCTGGAATGTATTCCCCTGTAAACGCATAATACTCTTATGTCGAGGATAGTATGCACAAATAAAGCAAAAGTTTTGCTATTCGATGTGAGTTTACTTGTTAAATCTTCATCCTTCCGCCATCTGCTTTTCGGAACTTTTTTCGTTTCATGCAATCTGTGTAAAACTGATGGCACAAGTGCGTGGATTTAAACCAATCAGATTATTTTAAATATTTGCTCAAGCGATATTATTCACTCCTGAGCACTCATCGTAAAAAAATCGAACCACAATTGACAGAGAATGTGCTTTAGGCTAACTCAGTAATCGAAATTTGAACTCAAATTCGTGAAAAATGTATCATTCATACTCTAAAATGAAGCTGCATACAATGAATTACAGGTGAGTATATGTTACGGCATATCTTTTTATACAAAATTGGAAACATTTGGAAATGGAGAAAATCAAAAGTTATCAACCAAATTGTAAAAACGAAAATCTCCTCGTTCTGCAGATTAACCCATACAATTTGGGATTAAACTTCATAAAACTAAATAACTTCAACTGAGTGAGAGTCAGATTTGAATCTATGGAAATAAGGATAATTCACGTCGTAAAGATATCATACAATGCAAAAAGAACGTTTCAGAGACATTCTCTGCATCGAATGAGAATCTAACAACACAATGCTTACCTCATTTATAACTCAAGAAGGCTTTTAACAATGGGAAAAGTTTTGAAATTTCAACAAAACTTTTCAAATCTTGACGCCATGTTGTTTATGTCACGTGATCGATTGAAGGTTGCGACTTAGGATTCACGAAATTGAATATCATACTCCCAATAGTCAACGATTCGTACTTTGCTAATTGGACAAAACGTCGACTGATACATGATGTTTCAACAAAGAACCATAAAACACATTTCATGTTGCACAATGAATCCAAAAATATCCGTCTTTGTAAACAATAAATTGTAACGCTAAACGTACCCACCCGAGACCAGTGCCTTCGAGCATATAGGCCTGGGAAACGTTTTCTTTCTATACTAGCTGACTACTACTTTTCCTTAGACCTATGCCTTCAAGACCAAAGCACTTTGGGAGGGATTGCCATTTAATGTATTAATGATACCCAGCGTATTAGTGAATTACTGTTGACAATATTGTTTTGACCCATTATTGGACTGATTTAACCCCGGATTACGAAACCAACAGGATACTCCATAGATCAAATGGCACCCTTGGTATACGCAGCTAACGAAAATTGACCGGTATGGGTCAAAAAGCTGGACCGGTACGGGTTAACGGTTTTATTTGAATTTAAAACGGCCATAACTTGCTCAATATTGACTTCCTCGTGTCTTATTTGAAATATATGATGCCTCCCGATGCTTTTAAGTACCCCAATTTTTTACAGATTTTTAAACGGACCAAAACTCTCTAAATGCGCATTTATGCTCTTTTCTCTCGAGAACGACTGTCTCATTTTCACGATAACTTTTATTTAGTACATCTTACATATAAGATCTATTTTTCCCCATCAAGCTATGATGTAAATGACATGCTATTTACATCTTGTGAGTTTCAATGACGCGCGTTTGATTTTATAAAAAATGCCAAACTTTGTGCAGCGAGAAGACGGACCGGTTCGGGGCAATAACACACATGTATAAAGATTCCTAAATTATGTTCATGCTATTGCCCCGAACCGGTGGTCCGTTTAAAAATCTGTAAAAAATTGGGGTACCTAAAAGCATCGGGAGGCATCATATATTTCAAATTAGACACGAGGAAGTCAATATTGAGCAAGTTATGGCTGTTTTAAATTCAAATAAAACCGTTAACCCGTACCGGTCCAGCTTTTGACCCGTACCGGTCAATTTTCGGTAGCTGCGTATACCAAGGGTGAAATGGGCACCTTTTGTAGCTATATCACTGGTGATCCACTCGATTACGCTGGTTACCAAAACGGTTCGTTTTGGTAACAATATGTCGGAAAGTCGAAGGTACGACTTTTTCTCCTTTCCTTATTTCACACGTTGTAGGCAGAATTCCCACGACATTTTTTTACACAAAAAAAGAAACGTCACTGTATCAGTATCATTTGTTTTTGAAAATGTACATATTTGCGAACAAATAGTTCAGAGACAACAGAATCGTCGATTTAATTCCTCACTTAAGTTACATAAACGGTTTTTCGAAAAACAGTTAAGATCTGCACTTTTAACCATGAACCGTTTATTTAACTTAGTAATTAAATCGACGATTCTGTTGTCTTCTGAGCTATTTTTTCGCAAACATGAACATTTTTAAACATGTGATACTGACATACCTTTGTGATTAAAAACGTCGTGGGGATTCTGCCTACAACGCGTGAAATAAGGAAAAAAGAAAAATCGTACCTTCGACGTTCCGACATTTTGTACGAACCGTTTTGGTAACCAGCGTAATCGAGTGGATCACCACTGTATAGTATGTAACACGTTGTAAAAGCAGCCGCCGAGCTGATTCAATAAATCAAAATTAAACAAGCTTTCAAATGGTATATAAGTGTTACATGGGGATATGCCATCTAAAATTGGTGATTAATGGGGAGACGGTCATAATGAAACCCCGGTATGAAACACCATGTACATGTAGCCATGGTTGAAAGCCCATGATGTAGCTTAACCATATTTTACCAGTGGTGGAAAATTAAAAATATGAAAATATTTTGTGTTTTTTATTAATTGTTATTGAATAATTTGTCATTCTGTTATTATGACTGTGCAGTGCATCCTCTTTGGCTATACGAATTAATTTTTTTGTAATTATGGAGTTGGCCTTGGGAAAAAAATTATAGTGTTCTTCACCAATTTTACCGCGATCTAGTTTAATATTAGATATCAAAATTTCTCGTGGTAAAAAATCATAAAAAGGTTTTTCTAATAGCTTTAATTTTGTAAATCGGAGCGGGTCGGTTTTGGTGATTGCTATACCTCAGTGACATTTTATTGGTAAAAATGATTTGGTTGCGAAATTTTTTTTATTCAAGAAAGATGATACAGTGCAGACTTTTAAAAGTTCTTTCATAAATCAAACATTTTACTTTTACAACATATATTTGTATATACTTAATCTCGAAGTTTGCTGTTTTCTTTTTCTTATTGATTAAAAGTGAAACTTATGTTTTAGAACTTGTGGGATAAATCCACGTATAAAAAGTAGAAAACAAAGTATTTACAATTGATTCAAGTTCATTAACTTTTTGGCTTTTTATGTAGTATAAGGAATAATTTTCGAGACGATATCAATTTTGATACAGTCACTGACTCTCATGCTTCCTTTATGATTTAATCGCTATTTTTTCACACAGATTTCAATCATTATTTCCATCGCTAGCTCCGATTTGAACGTCGCTGGATTCTCCACGACGGCACGTGATCAACCTATCAACAAAACAGTAACACGAAACGATTAATTACGAGGTAAAACGTTGATTGAAAAATACCTCATATGTTTAATTATTTTAAATTGGAACTAGTCATTATTTTTCTTTAATGGTTGATTATTTGTTCGTGTGGATGCTATGATTAATGTTATGATGCTATTTTGTGTTGCTTTTTCGCGCTCTTCTTTTCATCAGATGTCAATACAAGCCGAGACTATTAGGTAAAAGCTTATTAATAATTTGACACAATGACTTCTTGCCGTTTTGATTATCAACAATTTAAAGGTTTCGACTTTTGAATAGTAACTTATTAGCTGTTAAAAAGTAATTTCAAGAAAAAAAGAAACAGTTCGTCATTGGTATTGTTTATCTCAAAAATGATATTATTAAATGAACAATAATAGTCATTCAGAATATGATTAAATGTACATATATAGACATCATTTATGTATACCTAGATTCTTCAATATTATAAATGTAGTTTTTTAGGAAATTAATCCATATATATTGAACCACGTGTCTTGTATGAAATAGTAGACAAAATGGAGATTGATGAGACAAAAATCTGATTTCGAAAAAAAATTTACTCCTCATATTCCAAATTAAAGTCCTACACGTTCATGTTATAATAAGTTGCAGGATATACACATCTTCAAGAGCATATTTAAAGACAGAAGACGACTTCCCCCTGATATTCAGTTAAAGATAGTTTGTGTCTAGCTGCAATGGGGATAAGAAAATATATGAAATGAGTAGATCAATGAAATAGTGCGAGACAAAAATACAGTGTTGAAAAATTTATTCTTTTAACTGTTTTAATGTGCTCTGACTAATTAAACCGTTTTGCTCATTGCAATATTATGTCATAATTACGTTAATTGAACCTTCCTTAATTGATCAGATCTTGCACAAGGGGCATATTTGTTCAATATAGCCTTTTTATTTTATCATTTAGTCTTTTATGATATAAGACATAAAAAATTACGTGAATATGTATCATATTTCCCAGTTCATGTTCATTAAAGAAAAACAAAAAAATGATTAAATTAAGAGTAGGTTTGACATGCTTTTTATTATAATTTCACACATACATAGGCAATTACTTGAATTAATCCTTCTGACGTATTACATTAACTCGTTAATCCCAACGTTTAGAATAGTTCCTAACTGATTTAGAGACGCTTAGCTAGCCCAGAACGTACCCCATATGCTAGGTATAATTAATGTATTGTTAAAGGCAACGTTCCATTAAGTTGGAACAATGGATAATGGTACTTGCTGTCATAATTCAAAAAGCATTGTTTTGAGACACATGTACTCTATTCATTTTACATTACTGTAATCCACTACTTGAAGGATCGCAACTCCTGCTTCACCGACGCCTGCGCCCTGCTGAAAGACTATCAGCTCAGCCACCAATCATTCATGTGATTTTAAAAATGTTTTATTTCTGCCACTCTTGGTATACGCAGCAATTATAAATGTCTTTAAAGATGTGCAGAGCTCCAAAACATTCCAAGATATCATAGATTTCAAATTTGACACGAAAAGTAAATATTAGCTAGTTATGGGTAATTTGACTTCAAAACTAACCATTGTACCGCACCGCCGGCCACGCTGTTGTACCCGAACTGTCCACTGTCACTCTACTATACCTAACACCTAGAAATGCATAAGATACTTTGTTTGTCTAATTGAATTGTTTAATATATTTTTGAAAGTGCCCGTACTAACATCTAACTTTCAACCGATAAACCATTCATAAGGAACAGACAAATAAAAACAAATACATAATCATTACTAATAAGCCAAATGGGTTGCTCATGAACACCAAATGCAAGGTATAGTAGAGTGACTGTCGGTAGCTGCGTATACCAAGATTGCATTTCTGGGCATCAGGGAAAAAGTCATTTTTCGATATATATGTTAAAGTGTAACTGTTTGTGTTGAGGTTCTAATGATATGCTACTCTACAGGCCGGTGTAAAAGGGTAGGGGGTCCTATCAAATTATGGTCCTACTCTTCATTGATTTATATGGTGACTTCTTCCCTTTATTATCTTATACACAATCAGGGCCAGTAAGGGCCGTTAACAAAGGGCACCATAATCCCCGGGGACCATAATTTCTGTCACACCGGTACTATAGGCATACTCCACTTGTGATCATCGACATGAGTACTGATTGCCCCATTGGGTCCAATAGGTTACTACATGTCCCACTGGGAAAATAAAATGGTTTAATTTAAAATCAGCTTCATTGAAGCTGACAAATCTCTAACTATTTCATTTTCATCAAATACCACCAGAGACAAGAGAATACGTCAAGCGCAAAAATAAACTAACCCAAATTGTAAAATGGACG